TTTCGTTGGCGATCTCGTGGTATCGAACGAATACCAAGATCAAGCCAAAAGAAGTTGTAGTGTTAGTCATTAGTTTTAGCCCATAATATATCTTATTCTAGTTTCCGGACATTCCATTCTACTCATTCTACTTGAGTCACGTTTTGACCTTGTTAATTATTCGCTCATTAGCCTTGACTGTTTTCATATGAGCGTTTATGTGTGTACACTTGATGTCCCATGACTCATCACATGTCTGTAGTTTATTTTGTCTGCCTATAAATATTGGGTAATGCCCGGCTTGAAGTGGAGTTGGCTTCCCAGCCATCTTCCATACGTATCATTTTGCTTTGCTATGCTTCATTCGCTTTATGTACGAAATATATGTATTCTCAAGTCAATTCTCGTTATTCGACTTATTTAATTCCGTTATTGGATAACGCGATTTAAGTCGACGATGATATACGAGAAAAGGCGACAACAAACATTCGTACAATCTAAAATGGAGTCGAGAACCAACGGCCACTAAAAAGTACAAGTGGAATTAGCGGGCAGGAGTACGAACGTCCGACGTCACAACCCGCGGAAACGTAATGGAGAGTAATAGAGTAGTAATATGGCTGTCATTAGCACAGTTAAACAAAAGCACATTAAAGCAAGCACAGGTACAATTGGTTATAATAATAATAGTTGTTTCCATTAAACCAATCGCGTTCTCGTGATAAAAGTAAGTCACCAAAAGGTAACGATGTACACTTAAATTTATGATGAATTATAGAACAGTTATTTACCCGATTACTTGTTTTGATTTTGACGGGCGAGGGCGCGTGTCTAATCTACCTGAACGGCTATCCTTCAGTCCAAACCGTAGTTTGGATTCTACAGGAGATGATGCATTTCCCAGGCGTTTTCTGTATCCTTATTATATGCGCAATCAGTACAGTTATGGCGATAAACCACACTTAGGAAAACAGGAACATGGTCACTGGTAAATCTATGCAAACTTTCCCTCACTTCGAATCAGCACGTTGTGAGTGGTGTAATACACTTCTGAATCTTTCTTTGGTTCTGTGCTAGAGGGACCAAACTCAATATTATTTATAGATCATTCCAACTGCTACTTATTTTGTATTTGTTGTTCAGCTTCTAGGGAAAATTACAACGAGAAAAGCACTTCATAGCAAGCAAGAAGACTCACGTACTACCCAAAAGCAGGTTACATGGAGAAAATAGTTCAACATATATTACAAGCAAAGTTAAAGTCTGAAAATCTGAAATCTGATCAGTCCAACGTCAGTCATTTGAAAGCCTAAAATAGAAAACATGAATCTTCAAGAACAGACAATATCACCTGGAATTGTTCTCGCTGAGTGACAGGATATTAAGAGATGACTCGATAGTGGCATACGGTGCATTAAGTAAGCCGAACCACACCAAAGCGACCATATTACCAAGATATCATCAATACGCTCCTCTAGGCAACCTCCGTAAGATAGCACACCAAACAGTGAACGTGTAGGTGAGCTTTCATCTTTTCTTACTACTACATGCTCTAATTTGGAATGCCCTTCCAGCCGAAGTGATCACAGACCCCTCAGTCTATAGCTTTAAGCAACACTGAACTACAGTTCCTCTCTTAAACTAGCCTTATCTGAAGCATGACTCATGAATTGCAACAGTGACCATTTTGGCATAGACAGTAACTACTTTCCATTTCTACTGTTATCATTTTCCTTCAGTACTTACTGCTCTGTTTCCTAACAGACTATCAACTAAATAAATTATATACTTATTTTTGAAACAATCATCTCTCAGTATTTGAATCACTACTTGATTATACACTCATTCTTACCATATAATCTTCTGCCTAGTAATTTGATAGTTGCTGAAATTCAGAACCACTGCTGTATCTACATATCGCGCGTTATTTTTGAAAAAACAGTGGTATTTTTCTTCGCCGATTTAGTTTTAAAGTATTTACCGCTTATCGAGCATCGAAACTGTTGTATTTCATTTTGATCGAATTTATTTCAATCAAACTTATCACCAAGGGTATCGTTTTCTACTCCAAATTAATTCATCATATTGAAATGGTAGAAAAGATTTGTAGCTCAGGTAAATGATTTTGTGATGATGATGATGTCGTTCAGAATAAGAACCATTCAGCCCAGAGATCACAATTTCGTCAAAATACTTTATCATTTTCTTTTTGAGTACAGATACAAAAAGACACTGGTATTTTCCATGGTTAAGTAGTGTTGTTTTTATTCAAAAGGTTTTAAAGCTTCTTTCATTTGTTTAAGCCGGCTTTTGGTCTTCAGTTACAGTAAAATATAAACCTCAGCTTTCTGTGCTGTGTCCTTCAACTTTAAAGTCTTAAAAACAGTTATTTCAGAGATTAGTACTTTTGTTGTCCTCTCAATGTGATCACCAAACAATTTAATGGTGCAGGTAAAACATCCTTGTGGTAGGCCCACATGGTATTTCCCTGTCAAGAACGGAATGTAATATGACAGTTACAATAAAAAGTATCACAACGTAAGCACCGGAATCACACCGGCTGCGTATGAAAGGTGCTGCAAGCCACTATCACGTTGGTTATGCAATGCATGCTGTTCTTCATAGTCTCTGAAGATTCTTGAGATGATTGAGCTGCTGAACAAAGCTGAGAAGGTGCTCTCAGATAAAAGGCCAGCAGCAGGTGAACAGTTTTCAGTTTATGAGAAAGCAGCGGGCGTTATCGTGAGTCCAAGATGGACCCCTATGGCGTAGCGAATGACAAACACACATGTAGGCATGGTTACTCAGGAATGCCACCTCTTAAAGATTATCTTCACCTCTGCTGAAGAAGGAAATCTTATACTAGTAAATTCACTCAATTTCACTGGATCAGGAATATGTGTCCGTGAGGATTTCAGACTGGTTGATCGTATTAAAAGACGATCGGCACAGGTAAAAATAAGTGAGCACCATGGGAACGGTGAAAAGAACCATTTACTTAAGGGTTTTCACATTGTGAATTTTCAGAGCGAAACGATCTTCAAACCGCTTTCAGTGGTAAGGGAAAGGTGTGTTGTACAAATCGTCGCAGCTTACATAGTTAGATGTCGGGTCTCAGAGTAGTAGTGGACATACAAAACCCTGACGTCTTTGCCACCTCAGAAACATGTGTAACATTAGAAGTGTATTATAATGAGATTCGGTTGCTTGGTTTTATCCAGTATGGCTGACAGACTAGTCTGTAGGGGTGGTGGGTTTGTCCTGTACACGAACAGTACCTTAACCAAATGGGCTGTCGAGACAGTGACAAACGACCGAGCGACATATGGACTGATGCGCTGTAGTGTAAAATGCAAACGGAAAGACATTAAATTATTTGTAGTATACCGCAGTAGAAAACGTGAGATAGATGACTTCCTCCCAAGCAAACTTGAGCCCTGGTGCAATAGGAGTAAAAGCCTTTTGATAGGCAACTTTAATGCACCGTATATAAACTGGGCAAACTTAGAAGAACGGTCAGTAACAACGTTATTTGGTTGCAAATTGTTAGAAACTACAATTGTACTAAATTTATTACAGCACATTAGAGATCCTACACACGAAAAGTATCTTAGACATACGAATAACCTCCAAGTGACTGTCATGGAAAGTGGTACTTAGCGGAGTACCCTAAGGCTGTCCTAGTTCCTTTACATTTTATACTGCATGTAAGTTATCTCCCAAATATAGTTGAGTCCCTAATGTTAATAAACGGTAACTGTGTGAAAATCTGGTTGGAAATTACAGGGGATGCAGATGCACGAGTACTTCAGGTAGACTCAGATATTCTGGTTAGGTGATCTAAAGAGCGGCTGATAACTATCAACGCGGCCAAGTATGTCTGCATGCGCTTCGGGGATATAAAGGTAAATAGGTACAACATAGGTGAAGTGCTTGTACCCGTGGTCACAAAGATCTTGAGGTAACTCTGAGTCATGATCTTACTACTCTAGCCCATAGCCTGGATGTTACAGCTAAATGGTCTATAAGCCTATGGGCTTTGCGATGGACACTTGCGAAATTAGATACTACTATGTTTACCACAGTATACACAACCTTAGTGAGAACTAAGCTTAAAAACTGCGTTCAGGCTGCAAGTCTGTGTTTAAAAGGTGACTCGTATATCCTAGAAGGAGTATAGACGGCAGCCACCCTTGCAATTCCAGAACTCCGGGCATTACCGTTGAAGATGACACTAGTATTCAGTGTTTGACAACTCATTTACCAGCAACACCTTCTAATATAATTGGTACCCACCAAGAGAAATCAAAAGACAGAGTCGAGGAGATCGGAAGAGTGTATTTAGCGATTACCAATATATCGGAATTCTCTGGTATAATCTGGCTAGCGACTGCGGTAGATGTTGAGCACAGCGTTACCATACGTGATCTGGTGCGGATGCATGACCGAGCACCTTCAGCTAGGTGAGTCCATTAAAACATGTTGTCAGCATCCAATGTCGAAAACTTACAGAGCTATTTATTTTGGGGATTTATTTACCGCTACGCCATACAAACAGCGACTTGAACAGCTAGACTTCTATGCTCTGTCATATCCCAGATTAAGAGGTGATCTTATCTTCGTACTTAGAAATGATTCTAAATCCAGTATATTTTCTCGTTTTATTTCCACCAGATCGAAACATCTCAAAGTACAATTAGGTGAGTAGAAAAGCCAAAGCATACAGTCATCTATTCTTGGAACCAGTTACCCAAAGCAGTGATGTCTGCACCTTAAATTGACTCATTCAAGAGAAGACTAGACGTTCATGGAAGTATACTGGAAAATGAATAACATAGGCCGTAGGCCTTCTGTCCTCACTGTACAAATCTGAATCAAACGCACTCGCTCAACGAGACATTCAAATCCATAAACAACTATGGTAATGACTAGGGTCAGTGTAATAAAATGACTGAACCATTGGATATTGAATTGTTTAGAAAGTTAGCACGACGAAATCAATTGGTTTATACAAACCAGTTACAATTATATTGGATATTGCATAAGCGCGCAAAATACGCTTGATACGTCGGGCGCGATTTCCGATTGTAAGTGGTATTTGGTCATTTATTTTGGCTGTCGTTTGCACTGGTTTTTACCTGTTTGTGACCTTTTAAGGCATATTTTTAATCGAATAACTGTTTTCTTTGATTGTTATCTGCATGCACCATTACAACATGAGCTGATATTTCACATTTTACTTTTTTCACTGCTCACCTATTTTATGAGACTTACATTTCACTCTCAGAGTAAGTTTGAGTTAATGTAGTTTTAATAGGAAACGGCTTGATTCCATACATTTGTTTTAGTATTTTCCCTGACACATGTTTTTATAATATAACCCCAGTTTTCCGTGGATGAATTTTCGGTGAGACTATAATTTATGGACGACCTTTGAGCTAAGCTAGACTGACATTGAGAGTGTTCACCTAATATTTATCACAAATTGAGGGTTCTAAACCTGTGTGAGAAATTAAAATTATGTTTTACAATTGACGATTAAGGTTAGGAATTAGATTTTAAGTTTTCATCACGAACTGACATCAGCTATGATGCCAGAACTATTTGACGAAATTGGATGAGTGAATATCGCGCCAATATCCGAGGCCTATTACATTATACCGTATTGTTTCGCCTATAAATTATAGTCTCGTCACTCTCTGACCATATATTATTTTAGTTAACCTATTTTAACCACATTTCTAACATTTCTGTTGCACCGGTTAATAATAACGAGACAAATCCGATTTTTCAAAGTTATTTACTGCACCTTATGTTTTGATTTACTTTGTTATGTCATAGAAGGATTTCAAACGTTTGCGTTGTTTTGTGCCAGCTTTGCATCAGGCCATAACATTTGTTAAACGCATGAAAATGACAAAAGCTTTGTTCATTCGTTCAAATGCAATATTTACTTTTGTTTTCAATTAAGTATTTTCTCAGGATATTCATGTTCGACATCATACGTTTTTGATTTGACGAAACCTGAGTCGTAAATGGTGCTCTTTACTCAATACACTAAAAGACTGTAATAAATCATGTATAAAGTACTTGAAGAACTAAGAATAGTTATTTGGCGAGATATAGATTTGTTCTTAATTAGTATTCTAACCTTGTGCGTATATTTTGAAGTTTAGATTTCGATGACCACTGAACCATCTGACCTCAATCACTTCTTGTTATTTCCGGTGCTATGAACTTTTATTAGAGTACCAATACTACTAACAGTAGGTTGTAACTTCATACATTCATGATTTCTTACTTTTTCTGAGTAACAGAAACATATTCCTCTTTTCCACCTATTTTGACCGCATTCAATTTTTCTACCCTGATACTTATCGTGGGACTTTTTCTGACTAGTATTGTTGTAATAACAGTACATCATTTTTCAGGGTTTTCAAGTAAGAGTTAGGCGAAAAGAAATGACTAGGAACTCATTACCTGATTTCACATACACATTATGTACAAATGTTACGAAATAATAAGTACAAAAACAAACCTAAGTTTTAGATCTATTAGTTTTTCTACATTTATTACAGTATGGTCCTGATTATTTTGAAAATGACCTGTTTTACCCATATTTAGCACTAGTTATTTAAGTGTGATCAGTTCGATATTTACTTCGAATGAATTTATTTAAATTACACATAACACGTAGTTTTCCTAGCTAACCGTCGATTTTTTACGTAAGTCTTTACCCCTGGCCGGTCCTCAAATCACCTTTTGCTGGCATTTTTATACTACTTGGAGTTTGTTAGTAGTTTGAGAATTTCAACCTAAGACAGTTTTTACAGCCACTCAACAGCCATTGAGTGATGTGTCTACTTCCGATTGCGTTCAAACTATTGTTTTGCATCATCCTTTGTAAACCACTCAAAACCTGTGAAAGAATTACTCTTAGTGAGGCTGGCTTTCGTTCTGTTTGTGAATGTATTGATAATTTCTTCACTCTCCAACAAATGTTAGAATACGGCCGTACGTAATTCAGACCGGCCATCGCTGCTTCTTAGTATAATAACCATCTTCAATCCGTTGATTACGGCTGTGCTCTGGGATTCACTGTTGGAGAAGAGTGCATCTGATAAGTATATTAGCATCTACAAGGTTTTTTTTTTGCAAAAGCGGGCAATGTGAGAGCAAACAATCACCTCACTTCATTATTTAATCATAGCAGTGTAGTTATGCATGGTCGCACAATGTTATCATTCCTCCTTAACTTTTTATCTATGACATTTCGGGAGTAGCTCCGATGGAAGTAGGTAGTGGTGATGTGGATCATTTGCCTGAAGACAATTTTTCTTGAATACACGGATGATATTGCTTCACTGTGCTCTAATACTCAAGCTATACAAGTTGCACTTAATCAGTTGGAGAAAAGTCTCTGTAGGCATGATATGTACTCTGCACCTTCTAAGTGCGAAATAATCTTACAAGACTGAAAGTAGCCTCTTCTTATACTCACTCTTGGTGGTGAGCCGTCGAGAGTAGTCTTAAGGTTCTCGTATTTGAATAGCTATGTGTGCTGGTGATGGCGTAAGTGATGAGACCAATTTACGTATAGTAAAACCCAGGACAGCCATGTCAGTCCCGGCCATTTTTGGCGCCTTCATGATGTTAGTTTAGCTATAAAAGTCTGAGCCTGCAAAGTGTCAGTGAGAATAATTTGTTCTATGCTTGCGAATCAGCGTCTCCGAGTTGATAATCTTCAACAACTCTGTGTCCGATCATCATCCCAAAGAAATACCGATGTTCAGTCCCAACACTGTTAGTAATATAGCGATTCGACAGTGTATGTTTTGGCACAGTGACGACAACTTACTTGGTGTCATCATTTTGAAGTACCGGCTTTGGTGATTTGGACATGTTATGCAAATGTCATTGCAACCACTTTCATATCGTGCACTTTTTGTCTAGAGATATGTAGGAAAGCTGTGTATTACTTGTATCTGTCAATACATCATGTTCCCTTACTTGAAGTCCTAGAGATATTGGAACTTTGTAGTTTAAGACATTGACATAATAGAATTCAGTGGAAGTCTCGCTATAATTTCTTTTTACATTCTTTATAAAAGCGAGAAGAACCTCTTTTAATTAATTGACTCTGATTATATTTTTAAAAAATGAATTATTTCTCCCATTATGTAATATTTCATTAGCGATGGAGTAGGTGGATCCATTCTTTGTCTTCCAAATTCTGGGCCTCTGAATTACTCATAACTTTTCTGTGTTTACGTTTCGTTAATTCATATTTTCTTGAATCGTATCTTTGATGCCTAATCTTTTCGATCACCTTTGATACTGTTACTACTTCTATTCTGGGATTTGGTCTGACAATTCCATCTACGACATCTCTGCTAATAGGGTATGCCAACTTGGACCAATGTACATACATACCAGGTTCTGCGTTATGACTGACTGACTTTCAGTCACTTATTTTTACTCATCTAATTATTTTTGATTATATTGACACTCCATCTATCTCTTTACAGTTTCACTCACTCATTTGTACAACGTATATTTATCGTGCTGGTCATTTTAATTGATATTTATGTTCAAATAAATAAGTATTTATGGTGACAAAATATGATTTCGCAATAGCATGTTAAATTATTGTACTATGCCATCCACCAAGGTAGTCAAAAATAAATTAATGTGTAAAGATTTGTAAGAATCCTAGTAATATCAGCAAAAGCAGCTCGACATTTGATAAAGGAACATTGCGTGGAAAACCCACTAAGTGAAAATGGAATCAGGAATGTCCCTTGCTACAAAATCCCCGTTACATTTTATATTATTGATTAGCGAATCCTACTATCGACTAGATCCCAACCAAAAAACAAATCTGGTCTCATAAGTTAAATACTTAGTAACAGTATTGTTGTTATAATCATTTTGTTTTATCTTATATTGTACTAGACACGAGGTTTACATATGTCGTTATCATGCCGGTGTCGCGTAGTCGCTGAATTTTGCGTGGATTCATAATGAGCTTTACACGTTTTATTTGATCATATCTCTTTGACTTGCATATTTGTACGGTGACTTAAATTAAAAGTATCTAGGGTTACTCAGTCAGCTACAACGTAGGACCAGGCACATATATGCATCGGTCCAAGTTTCCATACCTCATTAACACAACAAGATAGACACCGGATCCATAAAAGTAGTTAATTCAGAGGTGGTAATATATAAAAGAAAGATTGTGCATAAGGATATACTACAGGAAGAAAGAATTAGTTCGTAGAAAGAAAGATATGAAGCGATTTTAATCTCTTAGTTTAAGGGAAGACAAGGAGTGTATACACCGACGCCATTGTGATCGATTTTGAGCCATGTCATCAAGAGTCTCCAACCATTGGTTACGATAGTCACGCGGACCCCAACCAAGTAGTCTGCATCTACCAACATGGCTCAGATTAGAAGTTAGTGACTTCAAGCACTGATGCCACGTTTTGGTTTGGCCGCCCCTAACTTTCTTCCAGCCATCCTCAACACTGGCCAGAATTTCGCATCGTGGTAGTTGGTGGTTGGGTATGAGCAATACGTGGCCCAAACATCTCAGTCGATGAAGATTCACAACCTCATCAACTGATTTACCATCATTCCCTAATACCCTGCGTCTAACCTCACTATTACTTACCCAGTGATCCCAGCAGACGCCAGCAATATTTCTAAGGCATCTGTGGTCAAATACTAGTAGCTTACGGGTGTCTTCTACTCTTAATGGCCATGTTTCTTTTCCGTAAATTTAAACAGAACGGACTGCCGCGCAGTATACTCGTCCTTTTATTGATAGACGGATATCTCACCTTCGCCACAGTGACGTAAGTTGGCAAAAGTCAAGCGAGCTTTTCGAATCCGTGCTGAGATTTCGTCAGACACGAACCCATTAGGGCTGATCAGACTTCCAAGATAAGTGAAGTTGTCAACGCGTTCGACTACTTCACTCTCTATCCTTAGTTCAGGTATTGACGCAGAACAGTCCTGAAGCAATAACTTGCATTTCGAGGGAGAGAAGCGCATTCCAAACATTCTGGCATTGTTGCTTAGTGCTACTAAAAGACTGCATTTTGTCAGCGTCTTCACCAAACAGGACTATATCACCTGCGTATTGTATATCGATAAGTGGACCTCCTGGAAGGAGATCAATACCCGAGAATCCAGTCGACGAGAATGTTATTTCCATCGATAGGTCTATGGTGAAGTTAAACAAAAATGGAGAAAGTGGACAACCTTGACGGACACCACTTGAGGTTGCAAAAGCAGATGACAGTTCACCATAAGCTCTGACTCGACTGGTAGTGTTCGAGTGAAGAGCCTCCACAAGGTTTATGTACTCCTGAGGTACGCCTTTCAATGACAGACACTGCCACAGAATCTCGCGGTTTACCGAGTCTAGGGGTATTGTGACTAATAAATTGTACTATTACCAAGCGGATAACGTTTTGTAATAAATTTTCCTACTGTTCATCTACTTATCTAACTCCACTCTTTTTAGTTACTTAAGTTTTCTATCTTATAGCATTTTGCATGACTCGTTACTCACTTAGATAATACGATTATGGGAAAATAATTGTCAGATCTATGCCGATGTATGGTGGTTCAGTATGTTTCAGTCGATCTGATTACGCAGTTTTTAGAACCTTTGTCTTATCATTGCGTTATTCTAAATTTATTGAAGAGATGGATTATTCTTAATTCTTGTTTCATTGTTTTATTTTACGCCAAGTTTTGTCTCTAGATAAATTGATAGTTTACTTAATATCAACTACATCATATACTCATTCATTATAAGGCTACATCTATATCTATTCACCCTCAAACTTCTATTTTTAGATTAAATTTCAAAGATGTCATCCGCGCCTATTTGTGATCGTGTTAATACATATGCTAATAAAAGCAGAGTTATACCTGGTTATGAGGGGATACCATACAATTTATGTGTTAACGTTATCGGTTGGGTGGTATGTCGCTCATTTAAATTTTCATCAACGGCAAATCTAGGTCCTAATGTGCGGATTTACACTATTAAGAAAACTTGCATGGGACTATGGGCGTATGGGTACATTTCAACCTAGGAAAAATAGGTTTGTACAAGATGGTTTCCATTTTATATTATTGTTGCAATTAATAAAATGTCCTACTTCTTTATAACAGTGAATTAACGTTTCTAAATGATATGAATTTATAATAAATATTCTTTTTCCAAATATTTGCTATCTAGTTTGTCGGCGAAATCATTCTAACTTTAGTCCGAAAGATAATAAAATATTGACTGGGAAATGTTCTTTACTTAGTGATTGTATTGATAATTCTTCATGTTTTCCTTACCAACAAAATTTCTTTGATTTTGCTTCTGAGTAGTTAACTTGTACTGTAGTAATGGTGATTCATAATAAAATTTAACAATCATCATCATATATATAGGGCGTTTAAAAATTGTTTATCCGTTTCCAAGTTTTTAGACACTCCACATTAGCAGCCCTAGTAAGGTAATTAACAGCATAAGGAGTACAATGAAATGACAGTATCTGGTGCCGTGGAAAGTTAAATACAGAAAATAAGGTACCAATGAGACAAATGAGATCAAAGTTTAGAAATGACAGTAGTCAAAATTTAGAGTAAGATTAAGAATAAATACAAATGTCCCACTGTGGCTTATTTTAACCCTCTAGTTTTTGACTATACATTACAATGGTCATTGTAATCTCAACTAGTAAGTTCATACTATCCACTCACACATGGGTCAAAAAATTTTAAACTTGAGGAGAATCACTGCCATTCGTTGTTATTTTGTTTTTAATACTTCTCTCACTGATGTCAGTTTGTAGTCAGTCATTATCAACCTAAAAACGCATAAATTTACGTTAGTCCACATTAATACGATTGGATGAAACTGGCACGACGAATATCAAAGGAATCGGGACAATCTAATAGCGATGCTGATGAGAAAGACCAGACATTGAGAATATGGTTCAAGAGGACAATGAAAGTGTATGTATGATGAATTACAGTAACTGAAGATCTACAGTAAGATAAAGAGTTAATCCGTTTACTACGACTTGTTCTGACCCATATCACACAAAGGGTCTTACCATCAATTGTGGTTATCGCACGAGCCTTAACTAGGTAATGTGTATTTACTAACATGACAGACCAACAGTCAATGACTTCATAGGCTGTTTTTTTGGTTTAGCCACTTCCAGATTTTTTCAATTCACTTCTACATTATCTAACATCCCCTATTTAGGTAGACGGCGATCAGACATACGTGATACACGTCTTAGCCACTTCAGTTGAAGATTCACAGCCGTATCAATTGATTTGTCATATTTACCTAGTATTCTATACCTAACCTCAATATTGCTAACTCGGTCGTTCCACACGACGCGACCAATAGTTCTAAGGCACTGATTACCGTAACCCATAGCTTACGTATGCGCATGCTTTCAACTTTCGTAGACTTTATTTCACTCAATACATACTAGTAGAAAATCACTTTTAAATCTAAAAAAACAACTTTCCATTCAATCTGCCTTATTCATTTTATTTTTCATTTTAGGTGGACTCTATTTTCAGAAATAAATGATGAAAATGTCAGTACTGACAATGCTTCCATTGATAGTGTAGAACAAACTCCATCTACTAATGATCCTGTAAGCTCTTGTGTTCTAATTAATGTCAAACGTTACTTATTAAGTACAGAATTGTTTTTCACACTTTTTTACTACTTAGTTTTCATTTCTTTCTATCTTTCTTTGTAGGGTTATTTTTCATGGATTGTTAGTTATTTCAAGTTAACGTAAGTTACTTAACAAATTTTTTGTGCATTTGCAATATATATATATATATATATATATATATATATATATATATATATATATATATATATATATATAGATTCTTTCAATGGTTTTCTTATATATTCTTCTCTAAATCTGTTAATTAATGATATATCAATTGTCATAAGTTGATTTTCATGTCTATAAATGAGATCATTATTTATTCACAATGCTTCAGGTTCACTCTTTGCCTTTCCTTAGATCCTGAGTTCTGAAATCTTTTTATTTTCCTTTTCTGCTTGCCTCTTATCTTTTCTACTATTACTGATGCTGTTACGACTTGTACTATTCTTGAATTTGTGTTGTCAGTTTAATCTTATTGTGATAATATGGTATGGCAAATTGAACTGATGCATATCTGTCTCATATTCTATTTTACACATAACTGACTAACTTACTGTGTCAATTGTTTTGAGTTCCAGTGGTCGAACATGACAGAAAGCTCCATATCCACATTGCGTAATGAATGACATTCTTCTCAAGGTATACTTGCAATCCCAATGAAATTGGTATTCCTCATAAAATTAGAAACAGTGTCAGATAGTTTCATAGTGAAAAACGCTGTTACTGAAATCTCTAATCACTACGATTCTTTGCGTCATCTAGCTATTTTTTGTAGTTGAGATAATCAAAAACTGTTTCTTATGTAATGATGACAATAATTTTCTACAAATAATATTTTTAACCTCCCCAGTGCTATTCAGCATTGCACATTGAGGTAGGTGGTCATTGGGCATACATAACACATTCCAACTGCCTCAGTTGGTGGAGATTCACAGTCTCAACAGCCAGTTTATCTTTTCATATTACTCTATCCGTAACCTAAAGAGTGTTTATTTACTCAGTCATTCTACAATGCGCAAGGTATGCTTCGAAGTGACTTATGTTTAGAAACTCGCTAACACATAACTTCTGTCTCGATGGACCGTGTTTCACAGCTGTGAATCAACACAAAGTAAACTTCTGTGAAGTGTTTTCACCCCTTTGTTGACAGATGGGTGTTTTTTTTACGTCACGAGTGATGCATGACGAAAAAGCTGACAGGGTTTCCTGAATTCCTGCAGAGATTTTGTCTGGCACTTCCATGTGCCAACGCTCTCAACTACGACACTACCTATGCTCATATATATTAGGCTCTGCGTTACTTATGACTAACTGACTGATCATATGACTAAGTAAAATAGTAATAATAATTATTATTTATTTTGCTATATGTCATTTAGTTCTTATTTATTGGTTGTTTTTTACACCGTTTTTTTCCACAGTATTTTTGAATAAATTTTTTCTATGCATGTATTGTATTTTAAGAATTACTGTTATTTAACGCAAGTGGTTATATGAATGCTTTTCGATTGAATTCATGAATAACGACTATGAGAATGGTTATTCTTGACTCCTCATTAACAATCTCAAATGTTGTCTAGAAAGTTAGATTATTTGTGATTAGCATTCTACTTTGTTGTCAAACTGAACACAAACACAATGTATAGTACAACAGATTCATTCACTCATCTGATTGATTCATAATTTCATATTACTTGTTTTGGCGTAGGCGACCAGAACCTGTGATTAATCAGTCATCCTAGAAAAAGTATCTGGCTAAATGCGTACAAAGTTGTGTTGCGTAGGTTAATTAAATGGATTTATGTTTTTTGAAATATATATCCATGTATTCTGATAGTTTGATCGTTAATAAGTCTGATCAAGGAATTAAGTTTAACTAAACATTTATCGTCAATAATATATATATGCTGTATAGCATACGGACAGTGTTATTTTACTCAACAATCTAATCCTATTAATTTTATATTGTTTTTTACTCAAATTGATGTATTCGCTGTGCTAAAATGATTATATTATTAAGTAAATATGAATAGATTGCTTCATGGTAATTCTCATCATGAACTGTAGTCATCAACACTAGAATCGTTTAAAACCAAATGGGACTAGATCTTTCAGTAGTGTACACCGATCAGTCTGCACGAAAATGACCTATCACCTTGATGTATCACGGTAGGGACGAAACCATTGAGAACATATGACGTAAGAGGTATGAAGGTGGTTGTTACTTCCCGGTCGCCTGCACCACGGGACGATACTTCCTGAGGTACCTGAAACGGAAACCGGTTTACGAGTGATCCTGACTATCCGAAGGTATAACTTTATTCCTCAAGGGAATACTGCTTCAGGCCGGTCTAAAATTCCAAATCCATTTGACTAGCAATGCGTATCACACAATCATTCAGCTAATCACAATTTGTAGTAAAAAAAGTATTTTCAATTTATCAAAATCTTCATATAAATATCTATTTGACATGCAGGATGCTAGTCACAGACAAAACAAAGTATAATATTAGTGAATAAAGTCATTGATTATTAATCTCAACTGTTCTGATAGATGTAAACTTTCTGGTTGTGTAGTGACTGTAGTCTATGTTTGGTGTATTTTTATCGACATAGTTCAAGTTCGATCACATTGAGATCTGTTTATTTATTCTTTATCTTATAAATTTTTCTACTTACTGGGACACTATACTTTTCTTCCTTTGGTCGTATTTCTTACTCTTGCACTGTATCTTTTTATGTTCATCTCACTTATTGTAGTCAGTGTTATAATTTTATTCCTCTAATTTCAGATCTCGAGCTAGTTCAATGTGTAGTAACTTCCACCAACACACATGTATGCTAGATTGCTTACATAGTCTTTGTTGGACAAACTGAGAGTATGTTGAATACATCTTGCTTTTATATAAGAGGAATAATAGGATGATAGGATGATCACATTTTTTGTATTCATACAATACCCGATTGCATGCATTTTGAACATAATTTCTCTGAGATAGACGTTTCAACATCAGTTCAAATAAAGGTTGTTGGGGATGTTAGATCCCCAGACCTCATGTGATGAATGCCTTAATTTCGTAATTTTATTTTGAAAATTTGAATTTCCTTGTTTTCGCACCAAAAACTCTTTTCACCATCATATCGTATTTCCTACTTCGGAGAATCTTTAACGCTATTGGTCCGTTGTGTATTTTAGTATGCTATTTTGTAACGCTTTCCAACGACAGTTTTATGCTGTATATATACGTTTGATTTGTGTCGGTTGTTATCACTTGCTCGTGCTTCTGGCTTTTGTGGAATATACTTCCCCGTTCGGACTTCGACTTTTCTCTCTAGTTAGCGGGTCTGGGACGCAATAGAATAGCTAGTTTATTGGTCTTTGGTCACAAGTCTTTTTCCCGTTCGCAATCTAAATAAACTCGTAACGGCTTCAAACTTAGCAAAGGTATTACAAATTTCCTTTGAGTATATAACGCTCATGTTATGGTACTCATAAAAATTAGATCCCATCATCAGAAATAATATCACTACTATAGGTTTGATCGATAATACACATATATAATTGATCATTAAATTTCTGTTATAGTCAAGACATTAGTGTAGTGAAGTGTAAACAGATGTACACTTTACATTCCCCCCCAAAATGCATGTAAAGTAATGGAATATATATATATTATATATATATATTTAGATCAACAAATATTATGCTGATGATAAATCATTATTGATTTTCCGAATTTTCTGTTTACTTAATCATATTCTTATGATAGTACAATATTATCTGATTTTATGGATCTATTACATATAGCACAAATAGTGAATATGCTCTTTTTAAATTGATTGTTAAAAAATGACATCTCGTTTTATACTGTTAGCTATAACATACACTACTGATTAACACATGATATGTTTTTTTTAATACTTGGAATGGGCTCCTTTCTACCCTTCATCTAATTAGTTACTTACTCTCTAATTCGTTATATTCTTTTTCAAATATAAAAAGATTTCCATTGTGATAATTAGAACAACATATAAATAAGCAAATAATATTGTTTCCAATTAGATCTTTATCTTAGATTTTAATAAATATTTGTATGTATATATGAACTTATTAAACCAATGAAGGTAGTTTGTAAGTTAATGATAGTAATGAAATAGATGACATTACTAAACATAGTTAGTGGAAAAGTTTTAACTTCCTTCATTGAAACATTGATTCAAAATTTTGTTATTCTTATTATCATTAATGATAATAATAGTCACTGCCTTCCCGTGGCGAGGATGTTTTTTTACGAAATTGAGAGGAAAAAAAGCGAATGTCCAGCGCTTTAACTGGGTTTGTTGGACATGGAGAGTCTACCTAGAGGAGTTGGAAAACACTGATTCCAAACTAATGGTGAACATGGACTCCAGTACCCTGAGGGAACAAATGGCGTATGAACCAATTATTGATCACCGGATACCATGGGACTGCATCTCCTTACGATGCTCCACTGCCTTGTGGATCAGATCTTCAGGTCGAAGGCCCAGGGAGTGGCCACCTAAGAAAACCACCTGCTTCGGTTTGGGCACCCGGGCAGTATCATAGCCCTCACACATATCGAATGAGATTTTTGTGGCGCATATATATTTGGTGCCTCCTTGTACCAATATCTGTGTGTTAAAATAAAATAAATAAAAAATAAATATTATCATTATTACGTGTTTCATCTTACTATCAACTTATATTTTTTAGTTAATATGTTTAGTTATGTAACCGATTTCATTAATACTATTGATTAATTAACTGCGTAGGCAAGATATCTGTCTGTTAACTAAAAGACGAGTTCACGGTGTAACAATTTGCTCTGCTTTACTTTCTGAGTGTTCAACATAGCCATTAAGAATAGGCGATATCCAAAGATCATTAGTACTCGACATATGCGTCTTCGAAGTATTGCTTGTATATTTTTTGAGACCACAGAGCGAGTGATGCCGAGGTTTGCCATAGGGTATTAGTTAAATATGGCAGATCAGCTGATGAGGTAGTAAACTTTCGTATATCTAACTACTGCTTACCTCGACGGGTGATACTGTCTAGTGTAGAAGTAATTTGGGGAAACGAGGATTCACTCAAACCAAGATGTAGCACATGTGCATAAATTCACTGGTAATTAGTCTGAGCCGTGTAGGTAGATGTAGACTATCTGATTGGGGTCAGGGTGATTATCGTAACTAATGGCTAGAGACTTTAGATGACATAGCTCAGAATCGTTCTCAATGGTATAGGTGTATTCACTCCATATCTTTTCATAGATCATGGGTTTCAAAATCTCATACTTTCTTTTCTTTCTACGTGTGAATTTCTCTATTAACACCGATATTGTTATCACTTCTGCTACTCCTGAATTTGTCTTGATAGTTTTATCTCACTGTGCTAATGTCGTACGGCAACGTAAATCAATGCGCATATGTGCCTTCTACGTTGCGTATGGTTGACTGAGCGAAAAATCCTTGATTGGTTTATGATATATTTAATGCATGCATATAAACATCATTGTACATTAGAGTAAAGCCTGGTAAGTATCCCACGAGAAACAATATTTTCTGAATATATATATATATATATATATATATATATATAATCTGCACCTACCATCATGACTCTAATCATCAGTCGATAACTTGGCTGAACCCATATCCTGGTTTAAATGCCTCTCGGTTTCTTCCAATTTATTCCTACACAATCTAAACTCGTTCATCGAGGTAGATGGTGGTTGAATATACATAATACAAACTCATTTGGTGAGGATTCGATAGAGTAAACACCTTTCAAATGTGAAATCAGTTTCAGTATCCTTAATTTTTTAATGAAAATAATAAATCCTTACACATTCCTTTCGTAAAATAGCGTTAAGCTAAGGAATTTTCGGAAATCGTTCAACCTAAAGTGAGTCTCTGTCACCTTCGACGTTCTTCCCCTATATGGACACTATACTTTCAGCTCATACAAAGTCTTCATAAAACTGTTTAGCTGAGTCGTAATTCCAGAATTCTTTTATTGTTTTGTTCTTTTTCTGTATTAATTTTCTACAGATCGGCAGATTTACAATTAAAAGCAGGAAATGATGCTGTTCAATATCTTAGATTTCATTTCTATTTAATTATTTATACAGCAATCACTACAGTTTTCTGTTTGGTTGTTATACTTCCAGTAAATATACATGGTACACTAAAATGTAAGCACTCAAAATTTTATTTGATATTTTAATATATACATCTATGTGTTTTTTGATCTACTTTATTCATCCTTGTGATAATTTTATAAGTGAAGTGGGCTTCTGTGAATTACTACTACAGTAGTGCATGAACATACATTTGGGAAAGACCAATTTATTATTTAATGCAAAATTACAGTATCATCACAAAATATAAAAACCATACATTAAATACTCTATTTACACATCTTCCATCAATTGTCTTGTACAATCTTTATCGTTCTTTCAGTCTTGTTGTTTTTACAATTGCTCTTTGTTTACATTCTTGTCCTCTGCAGTTCGACCTATTCAATCTTCTGTTGTCATGCGTTCCACTTCTGATTGGTGTCACATACTACTTATATCTGTCAATATAAATAGCATACACCACACTACTACTATTTGGTTTACTTGTTATACTCTTTTGAGCGTGTCTTCAGTACATAATGACTGAAAAAGCATTAAATCAATGGTAGAATCGTAATTATTGTGAAAATTAATGCTGAATGATAGTTAACAGAGATGGTATTCATCAGGAAACAAAGATCAGTTAAAATACTGAACCTATCAGCAGTACGCCTCCAAGTGGTTTTTTATAGTAATTCACCTCTTCTGGTAGTTTCATCAGCCTGCTGATTCCTCAACTAACTCACTCTCTTCATGGACGCAGAAAAATCGACTTACCTTTATCAACTTTAGTCAACTTTGGTTCAGAAAAGCATTCGTGATCCTCATGTAAAACGGAGGGAGTATGAGACATAGAATTTGGCTATTTGTTAATTTATTACTGTGAAACTCAACCTTCATATGCACAGAACATGGATAGTTTGCTTTACTGGGAGAGTTATTGGTCTATAGGAGACAGATGTATTCATTCATTCTTTATCTTTAATATTACCTTATGCTTTCATCTACTGATTGTAATTTTCATTTTCTGATTATATTTCTTTCTATATTTAGTTTTTTTATGATTTTGCTTTTTGTCGTCTTCAGTTTGTCCTTTCGTTCGTTACGTTGATTTGAGGTATTGAATAATGGCACGCTATCTACCTCTGTTTTTGTCTTTCTTTGTGTATGTCTGTACTGGTGTGTGATATGTATTCATAAGTGACTGTTTGTTGTGGGTGGTCAGTCCAGTTTCATGGTTCTGGAGAATTAAACAACCTTCTGTTCTATTAAGTCTATTTCTGTACATGTTCACTGTTCTATTATTATTTCTACGGCTAAGTATATCACTATACTATTTCTGATAGTATTATTAGCGATAAAAACAGTAATACTATTTCTGATAACTGTTGTGATAGGCGGCGTACGAAATCTGATACTGATATACTGCGTGGTATGTGCTAACCTCTTAACTGATGTATATATATATACCCCTTGGGAAATCAATCCATTTCCTAACCAATGATATGCACTTGACCTTCAGAGCACTTCTGATCGGCTGATCATGTCATTATTATTATCATTATCATATGTATAAGTGCTTTATTCAGTGGGTGTTTGGTGTTGAAAATGTATAAGTATATATATGCATCATAATCCGTAATTTCCTCGATTTCATTTCTTGTGAATTTCACGTAGAAAAAACACTAAGCAATAAAATATTCGTTTTAATATTGAGATAATAGTTGTTTATTTTGGGAGGTGGGATCGATTGGAGGAGCAAACTAAGTACATTAAAATGTGTATATTATTAGCATTTCTGTTAATAATTGACTGTGTTCACCCTAAATTAACAATCGTGGAATAATTGGTGAATTCATATTAGTATTTTTTGATTGTTCAGTTGTTGGGACATTACAGTTCATTTGTATTATGTCTGGCATTTCATCTTTGTTTATATACCCAGGAGTGTTACTGTTACGTACATATCTACTCTGTTGAGTCCACGGTCTTACTGTTTATATTTGACTATTCAAGAACCACTCGAATTCCTATGACACAAAGTCAGGACATAAAAGACTGCTACAATAAAGATTGTCTCTCCAAAGACACGTCCCCGAACAAATCGCAAAGTTACATCATCCTTGGACCAAAATATACTCATTTATATGACTAATTCTTACACAAAACAATATCACATATAAGGGAAATTACATATAATTACTCCGAAATACTGAATTAATATGGGTAATATAATTGTCACATTGAACGAAAGTTCACACTTGTCAAATTGAACGAAGTCTATATTAAATTGTTACCAAAAATACTGACCTAAATAATGCCAATTTATGACACAGATGATCTGATTTTAGTTGGTTGAAGGTGTTCATCAGGAAATTCTGTTCTACTTTGGTGTCGTATTACTTGACACTTGTCGGAAAAGAGTATCTGGAATCTTAAGGTAACTGATTCTCCCTGTAAGAGTTGAACCCATCTAACTTCACAGTTTGTAACGTTGTCACTGAGATATTTGGGTCACGATCAAATCTCTACCAGCATTGATTTATCTACATTGATTACTGATTAAGTAGGAATCAGTGTTCTACTTATCCTAGTCCTTAGCACTGAATTGAATTCTATTAATCAGTGTAAAACGTAGTGTTATTTCTTAGTTCTATTACCCTTTCAAATAAGTAGTATGAACGTACGATATAAATAATTTTTGTTATTAATTTCGAAAAACAAAATTTTTAGCTCCTGACTTACAGAAATTCGGTGTTACGACCATATCAAATATATCGTCTAATTCATCTAGTCTATGGGTGCATACAATTTTTGGCATTGGATTTTTCCTGTTGGCATTTTTTTTAATGCAACATTTCTCGAGGCAATTTCGTCGAGAGTCGACTCGAACACCGAATTTCGTGAGTTGTCTTGTTGATCTTTATCATTTTTCAGTGACAGATGTTGAAGGGGAGCGTATTTGTTTTCCTATCAATTCATCAATACATCTTCCTTCAACAGTACCTTAAGTAATTCTATACGATGTTTACTGTAATTGTTATAGGGAGTAGCAATTTATATATATATATCTTCTTGATAAATACATTTGAATTCCACATTGCATGCTAAACATTTTCTAAAACTCATAACAAAGTTTGGGCTGAAATTATAATTATATGTTTGACACATCAATTTACAAATATATTTAGATTATGGATAGCAAGGAAATCTGGGACTCACCTTCCACCCAATTTAAAACTTAGCTATATACGCTTTCATTCCTTGTATTGATGTTAGTCCCCAGACTCGAACCCTGTACCTATCAATGTGTTACCTACTAGACGAGTGAAACCAGTCAGGCATCCATTTATTCAACATGTATTTAGCTGAAAAGTTCTAAGTAGGATAAAATGCTTATCTTGGGTTTTGAATATATAAAGAAAACTTTAATGAAATTATAATTTCAAGCTGTCCGTTCAGTTTGCACATATATCAACTAAGACATATAGTATTGATTATAAACTACAGGAAAACAGTAACATTTGCAAATAGCGTTTTATCAATGCAATTGAAACCATGTTTTTTAAAATACAATTATCAGTGATATCTTTAGATTCCAGGTGGCACTTCACATAATTTCTTTTAGGTTTTCTTGTTTGTTTACATAATCCATAATTTTCTTTCACTTGAAAAGTTGTCTGTAAAACGGCTATACGTATTTTTTTTTCATTTTCATAGTCAGATAAAACATTGATGATTTCCGGGATATCACGTACGAATTGTTCACGAGCACTCATTTTAAGGCATTTTGCGTAAGTAATAGTCTCTCTGCTATTGTTACATATATTTTGTGGACCGTGTATCTGACTCCGGTTTGATCGTACGATGATGCTGTGAACATAATTCTTCCATTTAACTCCATATATTACCTAGGCTAACTCCGTTTGTGTCATAGCTGTATTAAGAAGCCAAATACAAGTTGCGTTGATTGAATTTATTTCAATCTCGTATCTATCTAGATAGACATTCCGAATAAGAAACGGGAAGCCGAGCGGAGAATCACAATGAATATTATCCTATGTTATGCACCCAACAATGATAGCAATCATGACGATGGAGATCAGTTTTACGAAAGGCTGCAATCGATCATAACGAATTGCTCAGTAAAGGACCTGATAATCCTGATGGGAGACTTAAACGCCAAACATTAAATTATCTCTATAACTGATGTTCAGGCTTTTGAATAATTTCGAGTAAATCCATAATTCTACTAGGAGATTTAGCCTGCGTTGAATACTCAATTAACGGGATACTATTTTTTGGAGTCAGATATAGAGGATATTAGCCTCTACAAGGAAAACTGGAAGGGGATCAAAGAAGCATTAACTTCAACATGTCTGGAGGTTCTGGACCGCAACAAGTATCATCATAAGGAATGAATCTTAAGCAAAACCTTAGACAGGATGCGAGAAAGAATGAGCATGAAGATAGCGATTAACAACAGCCGAATAAGAGCAGAGAAGGCCAAGGCACAAGCTGAATACAGTGAAGGAAACAAGAAATTGAAGAGGAGCATTAGAGGCAACATGCCTAATTCTAACACGTGATATCAGGTAATCTATCAGGACGTTCATTCATTATTATTGGTAGTTGATGAATACTTTTGAAAAATTGTTGTTCGTTAGTATTTCTTCTAAAAACCAGAACTAAATTGTACTACCTCGTTAACCAGTTACTTGATTATAAATCACACTGTAATTGTGAAGGCTAATAATCTCCTATTCAGTTGCCTAAAGCAACGTAGGTATAGGGATGTTTGAATCTGGGATGTAGTTGTTCGAAAGTCGAACTCTAAGCTGGACATTTGATGATTTTCCAACTGATTTCGGAATCATCAGTAACAAGAGAGCAAAGCAAACAATCTGTTCAACGTGTCTCTTCACCCATTTCGAGTAAAGTCAAGAAAGGAATTGTCAAAAAAATTTTTAATAAATAAAGCAAAATATACATTACTATCAGTTCTACAACCGATCGATTCATATCCTTCAGTCTTATACGGGTTTTGTACATAGTGGTATTCGGATATTTTAGAGTTTACACATTACATTGACTCGTAATTTGTCTACGATTTGAAAACAGTGTATGACTAGGTGATAAATCTCTCATCAATAACCTCAGATTGTGTGGTGGTGTTCCCTCTCATCACACGCTTCTTATAAATGTACGTTTAAAAATAAATGCTTGATGTAAATGCACTAAGACAAGTTGTATGTACAATGACATTAAAAAGTTATGAAATCATGACAATCAATGCCAATCTGTGCTACGGTAGCTACTGTCTGACAGCCAACTCAAAAATAAAAGTCTAGTATACCGTACATTTATTTTCCTTTATCCTATTGAAATGTGATTTTTTCAAGCTGTGATTTTTGACGGCTGTATGTGTAGTGCATCAGTTATCTCTGAAGGGTTATTCGCGTTCAATAACGACATTATTTAGGTAATACTGTAGTTCTGCGTTTGTTTAGGGATAGTAGAAATGATGATTTAATAAACTTATACGTCTTAAATACCATCTTCAATGAATTTGTTACCTTATACAAATGTCCTCTCAAGGGCTCCTATATGGAGTGCGTTAGAGTCTTAATTATTATTTATCTGAACTAATAAGTGGTCGAGATAAATATACCGGGCGCCTGAAACATGGTAACGGAAGATTCTCTGCTGTGCTTTCTTCGAATTAAAGACTAGGGATAGAAGGCGTTCTTACCAACAGGATGGAGATTATCTCGGTTTCGATCCAAGGCTTATTTTTCTAGTCAAAGCGAATCATTAGTCAACACTTAGAACCCTTGCCTATAGGCAAAATAGCACGCTTGGCGTAGCAAAATTGTATCCCGGATTCTGAATTGTGGATTTCTGATATTGAATAATCTGAAGTCATTACTCAAACTTTCTGAATTCATGCCGTGATTTCTTCAAACATCAACTCATCTAGCTCATAAGACTTCTAGAAATAAATAAAATGATCAATTTACTCAACTACTTAGTCTCTCTTGATAAATCTAGACATTGAAGAAAACTAATTCTGAACCAGGTTTTTTTTCCGTAGACTTCTTTCAGATGCTTTGATGTTGAAATTACAAGTTTCCAATGAAAATATGATAAAATAATGATCATTTATGTATATTTCTTCATTCCTTTGTTTAAATGAACATGAAATGAAAATCATTGAATAGAAAAAATGTGTCTAGTTTTGTGTTTTCAAAGAATGAAAAAAAAGATACGAAATCATATTCGGAAATATATTATCATTTTATATTTTATCACCGGGCTGTTTTTTTATTAAAATGATTTAATTATCTGTTTTTATATCGTTTTCGAAAAATACATTCTAATCACTGAATAAACACTGATGATAAATTTTTAAAACAATATAACTTATTTGTTGCTATCGGATAAGTGCTTTTATATGTTTACATGTAGAACTAAAATGTTGTATCCTGATCGTCTTTTTCCTACCTTAATTTCTTTTTGTATTTTTTCAACAACAACAACAACACAGAGAACTTTATCCTGAATGTCCTGTTGAAGATGTACAAATTTGTTATGATACTCGAAAACTGATAAAACTTGAAAATCAGAAGTACGTTTTTTTCTCTCTAGGTTGTTTGTTATTGTTCTCTTCATGTACTTCTTTTCAGCTATGCATATATGTCATTTGCCATTATTATATTAGTTTGAATTGAATAAATCTGTGGAGCAGTGATTCAATGGTTAGGATATCCGATTGTTAGCCATTATATCGCATTTTGAAACTCCACTTCACCTACTTCGATCTGGATAACCACATAATATCATTACCCGTCACACACAAAGTATGACTGGATGTCAAGTATACAAGTCCTGTACTTGGTAAATGAGTTGAATAAATTAAATAATATGTTGACAAAGTAACGCTATCTTATCATGTTTTTATCAAACTATGTATAGACTATCACATACATACAGTATTCTTATATTCAAGTCAATTCACTAGATTTATTGCCCGATATATCATTTGTTACCATAGTCGATAGTTCTCACCCGACCGTAGCGGCTACCTTGACGCGGTGGTCGGGCTTGCCTATCGTGATGACGCAACCGACCTATATGGGCTGGAACATATGTTCTTGTAGGTTCTGTCATGCCAGGCACGTCGATTGGAGAACGATGAGACTAAAAGCAGCAACTCAAGGGTTCCTAATACCGGCTTCCTTAACGAGTCTGAACAATTGTCTGCTGTTACCTATTGCCGCTGCCTTTTCCATCTCTCTTGCTTTCGCTACCCACCACTGTTCGCGATCATTGCGTAGACTTCTTGTCAGCTTGCGCTTAAGCTGACTCCGCTCTTCATTATGTTCAGAGCCAGGTGGAATGAGTTTCCGAGCATCTATCAGTGCGATAGATGCTGTTGAGATCCAGTGTTGCTCCCTAACCTTACGGGTTACCGTACTAGCAGATATCACTGCTGTTTCCACAGCTTTTCGGATATCATTCCATGCTGCATCGGGGTGGGCATCACATACATGGCTGCCTAACTGTTTTCCTAGTTGTTCCTGAAATATACTCTTAGCTTGACTATCATTAAGTAGGCCCGTAAGAGGTTTCCTTGCAACGTCTTTCTTACGTCCAGTAAGACGCAGGCAAATACACGCTCGCACTGGAGCATGATCTGAATCTAGGCATGTGCTCCAGAATGAGCGACAGTCTTTTATCGAGCCCCTCCATCGGTGGCTGATAGCGATGTGATCTATTTGGGTCTAACGTTGGGACGAATTGGGGGGCCACCATTTTGAAAGATGTTTTCCTTATGCTTAAAGTTAGTATTTGCAAGAAATGGGCGGTTATATGAGCATAACCGCAACAGACGGTCGCCATTATCTATTCTTTGAGCCCCGACACCATAAGGTTCACCTAGGTGTCTTTCCCTATCTCTTAGTTTACCTAATTGAGCATTAAAATCACCAGCCACTATTACTACATCAGAGCACCTAGCTTTTCTGAGGTCGGAAAGCTTTCTGTAAAACTCATCTTTTACATCATCTGAGCTGCAGTCAGTGGGAGAATAGGCAGAGACGACGAAGAGGCAACAACGAGTGTCCCTATCTTTCCGAGTCCTTATTGTTTCGTTTAGTCGGACAGCGCACAAGCTACTGTCTACTGGGATCCAGTCTAAAAGAACTAGTTCTGCCCTAGGACTCAATGCTATACCTACGCCAGCAAGGCCACGGGACGCGGCATCAGGGCTTCCAGATACACGAAGTGTGAATCGAGTCGGTTCTTTATTTTGATATAGTGATGTCAAATGAATGACGCTACTCGGATCCTGTATGCGCGTTTCGGAGACGCAGCACACATCGATAGCGCGAGATTCTAAAGTCATAGTTGAGGAAGCCTGTTGTCCTATTTGGCACAGTGTTCGGACGTCGAAAGCTCCAACATGAAGTTTAGAGCGTGGTCTCAGGAGACTAGGAATAACGTTCCGCGTACTCGAATCGTTTGCCGTAGCGGTGCGAGGTGATAAAAGAACGTGAGAAGGGTTAATCGTGGAGATAAGAGAGTTATTAGGAAGGATTTGAATGTGACCAACTTGGTCTCGTGTGCTGTTACGGGTATGAGGGCTGATATCACTTCCCGGCTGCCCACACCGTGGAAGGGTATTTCTTGAGGAACCTGAAAAAGAAATTGGATTAGTGTTGGTCTTAACGACCTGGGAGCGTGACCGCAGAGCCCAGGGGACAACTGCTTGAGGCCGGTCGCACACGGCCTTTTTGTGGGAGGTTTTTAATGTGTTAGCTCCGTTCTTCAAAGGGCCTTACCGTCGGAGACGGAAATCCGTGAGGTAAGGTGAGGTGTGACCATTCCTTCCTTGTGAGAAAGCAGCATCGCTGTCATGCTGGTTGTCCGAGGGAAACACCTTACTGCTGTCACACCCCTCTACAATCAGCAGTACAACTTCGCCCTCAGACCTTGAGTTGCTTCTTTTAGTCTCACCGTTCTCCAATCGACGTGCCTGGCATGATAGAACCTACAAGAACATATGTTCCAGCCCATATAGCTCGGTTGCGTCATCACGATAGGCAAGCCCGACCACCGCGTCAAGGTAGCGTCCGACATAAATCACAATTATAGAAATCTGCGCCTACTGATATGGGACTCAATAGAACTGGCACTTAACGCCTGAATGCTTATCAATGTATATGTGTATCATTTTATCAGTAATATTTACAGGCTGTGTTTCTATGTTTGCATACATATTTATCGAATAGTTAAAAGCTGTGTGTCATTGTATTATGGCACCTGGGAACCTGAACATTCATTTTTATGAATATTTTAATCTTACTGTTTTCTATATATATATATATATATATATATATATATATATATATATATATATATATATATATATATATATATATATATATATATATATATATAGTGTTTACCTTGATAAGCAATTTTGGCATTTATAGCGTATGAAAATCTAGTTTTTTTGTGATTAATTTTGTGGCGTTATTTAATGTGATTAATTTTTTCCAAATCATATTACTTTTGGAAAAACTATAATTTTTTGTCAAGTGTTGTAAAGTGAATATTGACAGGTGAATAAGTAAAAGCGAATGAGGAAACTATTAAATACACATACAATTGTTACAACTCACCAACTGCCGATAAGTATACCCGGTTATGAGCCACAATTTGTGTATAAGAGCTGGAAATACTACTTGACTATCAAAACCTGTTGAGGAGTTCCAAAGTATTTTTCAGAAATCTCTCAAGGGCCTAGGAAACGCTTGGAAACACTATCCAATCAGCGTTGAATAAATGCATCACAAAAAAATCCAGAAAGTGAATAGTCCCGTTTCTGATTGGATATTTACCTATACTGCTACCATATTTTATATGTTTATAAAAATTTCTAGAAGCTCAAGATTGTGTTACTCTATAATTACCCTCATTTTTCTGTACATAAACTAACCTTGAAGTAAGGCATTCGTTTTTACACTCCGTGCGTTTTTTCTCATGATCAAGTTTTCGTTTAGGTTTAGCCTGGGGTTATTAATGACTATAAACAGAAGTGTCTAAGACATAAAAATTGTAATTGAAAAGGAATAACATAATGTCGTAGATTGGGTATGTATGAAATTTATTGTATTTATCTTTTCAGTCTGATGTATTTTACCTAATACACTTCATTCGACTTGATTATATGTTAAAGAATGAACTGGAAACTAAGTTTATTTGTAAAGAAGTCTTAGTAAAAAGTTTAAAAAGGTGTAGAAACACTAGTACCTGTTATATAAATGATGTATACACTATCTAGAATTTTCTGGCATCATTTGCCTTCGATGATTAATGTAATCAGACAGAATATTCGATTCCTTATCACCAGATTGAACCTACAAGCTGAATATTTTGAATATTATTCTTTCAAGATCTTTCTTCTTTAAATAGGATTGTTGGATGTTTACTTCAAACCTAGAGAAATTTTGGGAATAAATGCTATTATGTCACTGTAACCAACTGAAATGATTAATTTTTTTGGTGCTTCCTTTTCAACTTTCATCCAGTCTATCAGTCATAAACATTGTAGAGCTTAACACATTTGTAACTCGATTCACGTTGTTGTAATGAAATGGAATTATCAAAATAGTTGCCGGAGTAATAGTTGTAGTAGCAGTATCAGTGACAATAGAAAAGATTGAGCATAATCAGTATGATTTGAGAAGAAAGTGTGAAATCGTCCTCGTAAAATGTAACCAGTGGCGTTCAACCTTTGTCGGGTGTGAGGAAGTTACCCAACAAATCTATGAAAGATGGTCACTCAGTTTGATAGATTGATCAAAGTTGAACTTGTGCACCATCGAACCCCGGACCAGTGGTCTAGTGGTTAGCTATGCACACGCCACACCGAAGGTCCCGGTTTCCAATTCATGTTTGTGAAAACACACTCCTAAGGAGTCCCATACTAGGATGAAACGACCACCTAGTGTTTCAAAGTTTTCAGTAGTTCATGATATCAGTCAGTCTTCATATACCAACTTTGTTGACTGATTCCCACGACTTGACTTTGTTTTTCCCCAGATTATTCATTAACATACATTTAACTGTACTTTGTTTAGAAACTACTCATCTATCATTTGCATTGTTGATTATCATTACTACTATAATTACCATCATAAATTAATATGATTCTTTCTTTCTCAAGAGATACTGTAAGAGCTGCTCTACGTTACTCTGAAGAAAGTTACGAACGTAAACGTAAACGTCCATTTATTATACCATGTTGTTGTGGTTGGATGTATAAAAAATGTTATGAAAATAGTTGTTGTCGTAGTTGTTGTTGGAATACTAATAATCAAATAGATTCTTCACAAAACTATATTTCCAATAATAATGATAATCATATAGATAATATTGATGATACTGTGCCAAGATCTGAAGCTGTTAACAATGAATTATCTTCATCATCTTCCTCTTCTCCTTCTTCACCTAAAATAAATTATAATAAATGTAAATTATGCTTTTGTTGTCCATGTCCACAACCTGCTGATGCAATCACTTATTATACAAATAAAAAAATGTATTTACAAAAAGAAATTGAAAAACAATATGAAACAACAATTAAAAAACCAATTGGTATTGCATTTATAACATTCTCAACCAAATATGCTGCAGCTTAGTAAGTTGATTTATGAATAAATGAATTATTAATTATTATTACTTATCAGAAGAGGTTTTGTGGAGATTTTAGTAATTTCAATAGTTGAAACCATGAGTCAATTGAAGCTAGATCATCATGGAAAACATGGAAGCACTGGATGGCTGTTACGTCACAGTGTGAGACTCCTCATCAGTGAGCATCCACGATCCCCCCCCCGCGAGGTTAGAATCCAGGACCTATCAGCTTCGCGCACAAGCGTTTAACCATTAGACCACTGATAGGTTTTGGGTTCAAATCTCGCGGGGGGGGGGCGGTATCGTAGAAGCGCACTGCTGAGGCGTCCCATACTAGGACTAAACGACTGTCCAGTGCTCCCAGGTTTTCCATGGTGATCTAGCTTTAATTGACTTATGATTTCAACAATTGAGATTGTTAATTCATTAATTTTTTTAGTGAGATATTGTCTTATTGTATTTATTCAATCTATTCCATCTATTACATTCTGTAAATGCTGTTTTTTTCTAATACTTTAGTGTATGTAAGGAATATCGTAACATTTGTCGACGTTTAATTATATCTATAATGTCTAGTACTAGTACTAGTTCAGTATTGAAAAGTCATATGTGGTCTGTCGACTTTGCACCTGTTCCAAGTAATATTATTTGGTAAGTCCTGTGTTGTTTTAGTAAATTATTCCCTTGTGTAATTTTTAACTTCTGATTTTAATTAATTCTACTTATAGTAAATCTTAATTTTCTCTAACGTATCGTTTTAGCATGTAGTGTGGAATAAAGCGACAGTTTAAGTAAGAAAAAAGTAGACAAGAATATGCTATTAGTCCGTGAAATCATTAACTATTAGTCTGAGTCTTGTCTTTATATCTTGAGTTTCAATGCATCTTCATACATACCTTCTTTTCGAACCAAATTCTCTATTTCATCTGTTCAGTTTTTATCCGTTCGATTATTACTTTCAGTTTCTTTGTCATTTATATTGTTAACTTAATTTCTTTGCGTTGACGTGGTTTGTCAACTTAGGCTGGGTGTACATGTGTATAAGGCTCTAGTTGGATGATGATGAATTGTAATAGTCAAATTCTCAGTGATGTTTATGAGAAAATTATCTAAGATTAAACGATAATTACTTTCCACATTTCATTGTTTTCTAATACTCCGGTTGTTAGATTAGTTGGAGAATTTCTATAACAGTATGTTTACTTGTAGAACGACTAAGTATCTAATATTTTACCATAACTTGCCGCTGAACACTTACCAATATAGTGTTTTTCTAGACCTTACTACATTTCAAATACTATCGATCAAATTATACAATCACCAGTAAATTAAGTAATTCGAGATCACCGTGTGTTTTATTTTGATGTTAATTATTCCAAGGTAATTGACATTCAAACACAACTCATTGTCAAGAAGTAAGTTTCAAGGTTTTAGTGCTCTCCATTGAGGTGAAAAAATCGATTGACCTAGTGAAATAGTTTATATTCATTGAGTTATCGTGCTTTCAACTGACCTACTGAGACCCGAGGTGTTTGCATTGATGAGTTACTAAACAATAACGGCAGTTGCATGTTGATATCGTCCTGTTGTATTTGTCAATTGATGGTTTAGTATTTCCTTACATTTTCAAAACTTTATCTAGTGATATTTTTTCTTAGGCGTTTATTGATTTGAACTATTTGTCAGATTGAATGACGATTATTTTTCGCTAAACGGCGTTCTGATAATGATATTCATAAGTATTCTAACTAATGTCTCGAAATTACCGTTCAAGTGAATCCTTTAATATTTCAGTTACTTAACCACACACTGATTGTGTGAAAACTAAATTATTTCTACCAATCTTAGTTTCTTTTTTAAAGGATTTCGTAGTCGCAAACTCATTTGTAAACTTCGATAATATCCTTCGTTTTCTGTCTATTTACTAATAGTTTCAAAAGCAAATTTTTATGTTTTCGCTGAGGATTGAATGGTCGGTTAAAAAGTCAATATCTTAAGTGTTACTCTATGTGTTTCCAACATTTTATTATGAACACAATTGATATGAATGAACTTAGATGAAGTAATAATTGACAATCTACAACTAATAGTTGAAAATTAAATGATATCTAACGAATAAAATACCATGCTTCATATGTATTGTAATTAATATAGCATGTTCTCAGTGTTTAAAGGTCTCTTGTAATTTCGATTCGTTTACACGTCTAAGATTCTCCAATCATTTATTGCTAACAATACATTTCACACTTTTCATTATCAAAATGCAGTTTATTTTCTTAGTTTAAATCATGAACTGGTCTTAGCTAGAACACTATTGTAAACCTACAAGCACTGGACGGTCGTTTTGTCTTGATTTGGGATTTAATAATGCACACTCACAACCCTGCATCTGGGAATTGTGGGTGAACATTTGACTTCCAGCACATTAAGTCGAAGTCTCTGGATTCAATTCCCGGATGTGGAGTTATGAACGCTCACTGTTCTAGAGTTTCGTTCTATCAAGAAACGTCTATTTGGTGCTTCCAGATATTTGATAGTGATCTAGCTAAGATCAATTCCTTGTTTAAACTATGAAAATTCTACAACCTCCATAACCTCCCCCACATACTAATACATGGTTTATTTGTATTTAATAAATTTGATTGTTCCATCAACAAAACTACAATCATAACTCAGCATACATGCAATTTCATTCATTGTTTTGAATATTATTTCCACATGCTCCGCTTCCTTGTTTGTTTTTTGTTACGAAAATACGATTAATACAGGGATTTTGTAATTTAGCCTCTGGCATAATATATTTCGTCTCTAATACATCAAATCTTTTTCATCTCTATGTGATTACATAGGTTGATTTGATTAAGTTGTGCCTAACTAACTCATATTTTCATTAGAACTATATTTTTCATGCGTATAACTATCCTCTTTTTTTTTTCTTCAAATAATATGCTTTCATCATTAAAATTTATCGTTTGTGTTTAATGCTTTGTATGTATCAAATGTCTTGTTAATTAACTGTTTAGAATTACTATAGTTTCTTTTGAATAAAGTTGATTAGTGAAGCAAACAAAACGCATAGATCGAGACAATTAGACAACGTTTTTTTTTTGTATATAACACATTTGATACTTGGGCACTTAACTATGACTTCTAACCAATTTCTAGTTCTTTAGAAATCTACTACAGTACAATATCAAATAGAAGGTGAAAAGTATGAGAAGAAGCCTCGCTTCTCAGGTTAGTTTAGGCACAAGTAACAAGGATGTTTAGGGAGTATATATATATATATATATATATATATATATATATAGAGAGAGAGAGAGAGAGAGAGAGATTAGTAGCAAAGTTGGCAGTGGTCCAATCAGGATATGGCACACAATTCGTGATTTTTCTAGAACTTTCCCTCTCTTATCTGTTTATTGAACTCTGACTGTATAAAATATTTTTAACCTTTTCGTATCCTTTGTAGGCTTTTCCGAGGGATATTTGTCGACTCTCAACTTGGTGTTGGTATTAATGTAGTTTTTCACTGCATTCTTGTGGTTCATTCATTCAGAACTTCATTTAATGCTGCACGCGCTATATACAAATTCAAACTGTCATTTACTAAGAAAAACCATTTTTCAACAGTTCATGTTTAGATTTTTGGGAAATGATTCTTTTCATAACTATGTGCGTCTCACAGATATGACCTCTGGCGTAAAAAGAACGAGCTTCTACAACCGAAAAAATTTTAGAAGCATAAATTGAATTCTGTCTAATATACATGACACTTTATTCGAGAGGTTTCCAAATTCATTTGAAATATGGTCTTGCTGAGTTCATGATAAAGAGTTATGCACCGTTGATACTTTCAATCAAATACTTTATATATTAGTCAAGGTTTTTTGAATATCCATTTCAGCGTCTCATTAAGTAATGCAGTTGAAAATTACTAATATGACTCTACTAAATATTATAGAACAACTCAAAATGTAGTGAGGACGGGACGTCATGAACTATTGTGTCACAAATTGAAAGACGCTCCAACTTAGTCATCTTAATGATCGAGAAAATTTAACACCTTAAAATCAACTTCGCTTACAGTTTTTAGTAGTTTTTTCTTAGAACAACAATTATTACCAAATCAGTTTCCTCAGTAAGATGTCACTAATAATTTTTCAGTTCTTAAAAAAAATATTATGTTATCGTTTTATTGCCTATATCACGGACAAACATTAGCTAGGTAACCATTGTGACATTTTTCAGAGTTCTAGTGAGAAGCGGTGATTAGCGGACTTCAACCTCGTTGTGTTTGACAGTCATCCACAAATCATACTGAAGTATGGTTTTACAATATCACAAACTAATTAAAATTGGAAACACCAGCCATTGCATTTCAACCTAGTAGCTTGAAGGGTAAATACCCTGCAGAGACACCTTAATCGACTTAGGTTCCATTCTAGACGAAGTTGTCAATGCACACTGCAAGAGTCCGTTGATAAGATAAAACATGTGCTTGGTTTTTAATGTTAATCTAGCCGAAGTTAGTCCATGATATACAGGATGAAATTCAACGATAATAGCGAACCCATATACTAACGTTATTGTAGTTGCTTTTTTTGAATTTTAGGGCGAATCTAGCAGCTACGAGAACTGTATGGTGGTGTCGAGCAATTTTTATTAACTTGTGTGTTTTCTTCGTGGTGTTTTTTCTTACTACTCCTACATATGTATTGAATTTAGTTAATACATTGCATTTAACTGAACGTCTACAAATTAATGTGAGTTTCCTTTCTTTTATACTATCATTATCATAGACGCTTTTTGCTACTTTCTTAAAAGTCACTACACGAAAAAAATTAAATTACCACTTAAGAGTTTCTGGAATTCAATACCGATATAGAGTTTATTTTATACTTTGGTATATATCTATTATTTAAGTAATGATATCATTCATGAATCTCGTAAATTAACATATCATATTGACTGATGATCTTGTAGTAAAGGAGGATTTGATGGGGAAAACCAATTTATAGTTTAATGCAAAATTGCAGAGTGTCTTCACAAAATATGAAAACCATACATTAAATACTTTATTTGCACATCTTCCATCAGTTGTGTATTACAAACTTCATCATTCCTGTTGTTATTACAATTTTTCTCTATTTACGTCCCTGTTGTCTACAAGTCGACCTTCTCAATCTCCTGCTGCCATCCATTCCATTTCTGATTGGTGTTATATACTACTTATATCTATCAACATATGTAGCATACACTACAATATGACTCTTGTTTGTTCACTCAATCTCGCCCTTGTCTTGGTTAAGCTGTTTTAAATGTTGATTAGTTGGTTAGAAGTGATGACAGTGTGATTTTTTTGTATTCCCTTCTGTAATTTTTTTTAGTAGAATAAGGATTTAGTACTCTGGTTCTTAAAAATCCCCCCCTAATATATCTACGTTTTATTTTACCCATACACTGTTGTCGTTGTAACTAAATAATGAGTTCATAGGTTTTTCATTACTTTGCATATGATAAGATTACTGATTTTGTGAATTGCTATATCATACGTTGTTCTAATCAATTAATCAGGATTAAAAATACTATTAATTTGTTCAAGCTGCGTAATCCAACTATAAATTCTACTTTAATCCAGTAATCAAGTTTAACTATCATGATGATCTAATCTAGCTATGTTGACTGAAACCATTATTCATTGAATACCTACTATATTTTCCAAGTAGATCAATAAAAACGAAAATACCAAGAGTAGCACGTTTCAAGTTCGAATTCTAAGTATTATCAGAATATGGGGAGAGAAAAATATGTTCCTAGTTAGCCAGCATATCTAGATTGACAGCTCCCTTCAGATTGATTTGAGGAGTAGTCAAGCTGCTCTTTTAAACACTATACATCCTTTACTGGGTTCAAAAACTGTGGGATTGATGCTAAGATTATAATGGATTAACGATCCTATACAATCGGCTCGAATCAGTTTTACCGTCATGCTCATGTTGATGAGTGCTATCTAGGTGAATCTTCTTTTCACGATCCTTCACAAAAATTATCATACACTGGAACTCCAGTCAATTTTTTCCATTGGATATGTATAATTTCCAAACCTGTTTAATTATATTTAAATGTCTGACTAAAATTGACTACAATTAATTGATCGAATGAAGATAGTAAGATACATTTGGAAGTTTTTGCTGGCAAAATGATTGATTTCAATGGAAACCACACAAAGGTGGTATCGGCAAAATGAAATGAAATGATATTACGCAATAAAAGACATTATTTTTCTGGTAAGCGTTTTTTTAGCGAGTTAGTTTTCTACGGGATGGGGACGCTAACCCCATTCCCAACCCTCCTCCTTTACCCGGGCTTGGGACCGGCAGCAACCCTATAAGAGCTACAGGCGGAGTTAATAAAAGACATAACCAACTGATTAATTTAAAAGCGGCAAATACTATGAAGAAAACTAAATTGTTCATCATTGCGTCAGATTGGTATCATTCAAAAGTTTACATCACGAACTAACTTCAGTTGAATACCTAGTGAGTATCAGGAAGCATTGGACAGTTGTTTTTTTGTCTTTGTATGAAGCCCTTCATCAATGTGCATCCACAAACCCACTGAGGATCTTCATGTGGAGTCGTTCACGTGCATTGTTGAAGAATCTCTTACTAGAAAAAAGTAGCTGTTCAGTATTTTCTAGTTTTTAATAGTTGTCCTACTAACGTCAGTCCGTAATGTAAAAATATGTATTAACATTTTTGTTTTCTATATTTCTCATCCAATAGAATCCACTATTGATTCAATTTTTCCCATCTATTATTCTTTGGTCCGTGTCTGCTTTATTACCTTACATTGTATTCAATTCAGATCGACTTGTTGGTCATTGGACTAAATCTGTATTACATTTAACTGTAATGATTAAAACATACACTTTATTAATTCTAATGATTTTAGTACTTCCATCACTTGGCCTTACATCGTAAGTCTTTTCTTTTGAAGTGATTTTATTCAATTTTGTATGATATTAGAAGCTTATAGATATATTCTGTTTTGGGTGGAATAGCTTCCACAATGTTATAAGTATATAAAGGCCAACGGAATAGAAATATATCTGCATTCAAACTATTGTTTTTAAATATGAACTCAAGTTTTCATTTTTGCTAAATTAAAATTGTTTATCTCTTCGTTTTGTTAGCCATTGTTATTTGTTTCATTTAGATTATTAGTTATTCAGCTATGAGCAACATTGAATCATTTCGCATTTGTGCATCGGTGTGAGTTTACCACAAAACATTAGCACAGTGAAGTAAAATTGTCAAAGTGAGTACCAGAGTGATATGAACAGTAAGAGTATCAGTGGTAGTGGATAGAATTAGACCTGAATAACTCATTTGTAATGTAAGACCGTGAAGCTAGATAACATGGGATGTCATCCGATAGAGAGCACCAGTTCTCTCAAGATTACAGGCATGCCTTGCTAACGCCTGTCAAATAGAGTAAAACCTATGTCCAAGGCGTCCTATCAATTACTTCCAATCAACTAACATCACAACATAGAACACCCAATGTCAAGTCACTTAGACTAGTGGCCTCATTACAACTTGTTTGATAGAATTGGATCACCATTAAAGGACTAGACAAATATGATACCAATCACCATTCATTGTTAGATCAATAGTAAGGACTTATAAAGTAACCTAATTTTATTCCTTTTGACATGTTTGTAAGTATCATTATAAGGTTTGACTTGATAATTTCAAATAAATTGAGTATTAGGTGGACTATTTATTATAACAAAGTAATGGTATATTTGTAATATGCAAATGAGTTGGAAATTGAGTTCCTAACGTTTTACAATTTATTTTCTGTTGTTTTGTCTTTGTATCATTCATGTTTGTTTATGAAGTAACAAATATTGTCTGGTACACAAATTATTTCTGTCTTGAATATTAATTGAAGTTATTCATTTTCTCTGATGTTAGTCGTCATAAAATGTGTATGTGATCTGAAATACTCCCCGGGCACCTACACAGAAGCACGTGGTTTTCATAGGAGTCCACTAAGGTCTAATTCACAAGAGAATGAAGCAGCGTTAATAACTGCCGTATCATCGTAGCGGGTATAGGTTCATACACTATTAAAGTCAGTGTGAAACTTCGGTTTAAAATCAGGGTTTTCCAATTCCCCTAATCTGAATCTTTCGTATCTATCAACTTGGATTATGTGTTGGATATTCGCTTTTCCCCTTCTTTTTTTCTTTAAACAGCAATTCCACCACGTAAAATCAGTGAATAAAACGTCCTAACAGTCTGTAAAGTCATGACCATATCCTATCATATGCTACCCTGTCTTACCTTGACATACACAATCTAATCTCTGTATTCGTGTGGTCCATTCTACATCTGCTGCCGTACTGTATTTCTGTATATAAATAAATGGGTGTATAAATAAACAACCTGTTCAATATTTATGTATGTATTATGAACTATTTTCTTAACGTTGCCAGTAATATTTTTTTCTTGTGATTGTTCAATCTATCTGTAATAATAATACATGTGTATATATTTCTAGAATACCTGCTCTACTTCAGTGGCTTTTCCCGGAAATGCATATCATACCACTTGTCCCAGCAAATAATGGTTCAAAAATTATTAATATTTCAACCATCAATAATACTACTAGTAATAATAATAATGCTACTGCTAATAATTCAAGTACACCATCTTCATCGAGTCCATTTATTCCAATAGGGCCGCAGTCATTTCAGTGGGAATGTGTTTTTATGCCAGATAATGGTGCTTTCTTTGTCAATTATGTAATCACTGCAGCATTTATTGGAACATCATTAGAACTTGTTCGATTTTCTGAATTATTTAATTATGCTTGCCGTCTTATGTGTGTTAAATCACAAGCTGAAAAAGCTGGTGTACGAAAGGTAAATTTTCTATTAGGTTTTCACTTATTCTTCTGTTTACAACTTCCTTAATTATGTTATTTTAATGAAAACGATTACTTAATTATTTACATGTAATTTGATAGTCATTTTCTAAATGTGTCCTGTCATCTGCTTTACATCACGGATTGATCTTAGACAACTGCTGGAAAGTAGGGAGCGCTAGTGATCTGTCTCGTTCTAATTTAGGAGTGTTCTACAGTGCGTATCTATATCGAGGGCTTAACTTTCAGACAACTGAGTTGGCATCCGATACTTTATATTCCCATCTCCAATCATTTCGCGATATTGCGCAACCATCTTCCAATGCTATTAGTGGGTAACTATTTTATAACCATTTCTTTTATTATCTTGGATCACTAATTATTGAAGACTCTTTCTTTATTAATAGGCTAGTCAATTTGAATTTCAGTTTGGACTGTTTTATGCATGGAGTTTATGCGTCTTCGCTGTGATCTGTGCATATAGTATTGTATGTCCGTTGATTACACCATTCGGTAAGTAGCTAACATTTCTATAATTTCTACATTGTATTATAAATGACATCGTCATTGTATTATTTGGTACAGTTTTTTTCGTAATAATATAATTTGTAATTTTCCTAGCAAAATTATTGTTTACACACATTATTTGTGCAATTGAACCATCTTTAGCCAGTATTCATTAAAGTTAGGGCAAAATCTTTGGATGTGTTTTGCAAGTTTCCTCAATTTCATGGCTTAGTACGCTTTGTTGGATTTAGATGTATGTAAAAAGCCGTAACACTTTCCACTAATTTGGCGTAATTTTGTTGCCATCCTCAAATTAATATGAGTATAAAATATTAGTTGTACAAATCTGGGATGCTAACATTTTCAATGAACACTTTCCATGCCTCCTCGAACTTACTAACGTCTAGTAATGTGTTTAGGGTCAGAATATATATGAAGAATTAACACCATTTTCAATCATGAAACACCAAATCCCGTGGTTTAATCGCGTTACTTGCATTTTGTCTTGATGCCTCCTCTCTTGTGCATTATTTAGTGACGCTGCATACTGAACAAATATTAGTGGAAGAGATGGTAGACGTTGTTACATGACGCTCTAGAATGAACGATTATTTTGTTGAATAGAGATCGACTAGCACTTCGGTGTAATTTTATGTTTTTTTTAAAGTGTTTTTATTCTTTATTTAATTTGCTTTCTTATATTCATTTTTAGGTCTTATCTATTTAATATTTAAGTATTTCGTAGAACGTTATAATCTCTACTATGCCTATTTGCCTAGCCGTATTGATTCCCACATTCATTGGCTTGCAATCAGTTGTATGTTAGCTTCTGTGTTTTTATTACAATTAAATATATTCATGTTTATTGTTTTACGTTCCAATACTGTTAGTCATGCTTTAGTAATTTGTTCATTATTGGGTTTGATATTCTCTGCAATATTAATAATTTTCACGATTGTTACTGGATGGATAATGGCTGGTAGTAGTTCAGCACGTAAACTTCTATTTAGAAATGCACATTTAGTCCCTACCACTGAAGATGTATTCGTTGATCAGCATAGTCAGTATAATAGTTCAGTCAGTGTTCAACGTAGAGGATCAAATTTGAACGAAATAACCAAAGCAGTAAGTGTATTTTTTTAATTAATAGATTTATTATCTGCTTTTTAATTTTGTTTCAGTTTCAAAATTTGATTGATAAATTTCTTTGAAATCACGATCCTATCTAAGTTGGGAGTTCATGGGAAATCTCACAGCACTTGACAACCGTTAACCCTGGTATGGGACTGCTCAAAAGCATGCATACATGACACTGAGAACGGCAGTTCAACCCCAGGGCCTTAAATCTCGCGTGCTGACCCCTAACCTCCAGACCACTGACTCGAGATCCGGTTGTGTATAAATCTAACTTCAATCAGTCCATGATATTGCACGGTCGTTTTCCAATTTCTTTAGTGGGTAACTTTTTTACACTCGACATGGTTGAACTTCTCTGGACATGGCTTTTCTTTTGAACTTCGGAGATTTCTTTCCCAAACTAGTCACCAACATAGGCCACGGAAGATGTTCACGCAATAGCGTAGATTGATTGATGTTAAAGTTTTACATTATTGGGTCCTGGCTCAGTGTTTGGAGGTTAAATGTTAACTCCCAATACGGATGGTTCTGAGTTAAATTCCCAGTTTCAATGTCCTGCATGTATAAGTTTGAGGAGTCCCATACTAGGTGGAAACGGTTGTCTGGTGCTTCCAGATTTTCAAGCACTTTATAATATCGTTTTTTAAGTCATAATTATCTAGATTCAACTAATGAGTACTGTAAAGTGGGTCTATTTACAAAATAGTAGGGTTTTTTCGTAAAATCTATTTCTCACATTGTAGGCTTTGTCGTCTTATTAGCCTGGGGTTAAGTCAACAGTGTTAGCAAAGGAGCGACAGTTTTAAAGAGTAATTACATGTGTTCAGTTTTTACAAACTTCTGTGCATTCCCTATTGTGTTGATATTTTAAATCCTATATAGTAAACAAAAAGTTATAACATTATGTCATTAAATATCAATGACCTCAGTGGTGAACAGAGCCTATACCATACAGTTCTTGTTATTTAGTTCTAGTTCAGTAATGGTGGTAAGGATAGAAACACAGCTGACGGTTGGACAAAAGATACATAAATAATCATACTAGCTACAGTTTTATGGGTTATCCTATGGGAAAGGACTAGAATCACCTCACTATGGTAATGAGGTGCTTTGAAGAAGACAGGGAGAGAGAAAGGCTTTGTTGTCGTCTTCTAACGTATTGTTTTTGTTTGTTTCCACCTAATTTTAATAGTTTTATAAAATCATAACAAATTGTCTGGTAATTTTCTCGTAACTTGTATTATGCTCATGTTTGTACATATATTTATATGTAGAAATAGAGATACTTTGCTAGGTAACGATTATTATTATTATTGTTAGCTTTACTCAATACTATATTTTTGGTACAATATGGAATTCTCAGCACAAAGTATTTCAACAAGTTTCCGTTTCTTACTTGGTCGATCATGACAATAAATATTGAGTAATTGCCAGTTAAAAGTTAGCAGTTCAGTCAACCGACATTTAAATAATGTACACTTTTCCCTGCATATTGCCAGCAACCAGGATATCTCTGATTAGTCCTTTTGTAACTTGTACAGAGAAATGTAGTATACTTTCACAAATGCACCTGAATAGCTTATGCGATGATTAGTCATAACGATGTACTAAAACATACCAACTTAGATAACTTGTTGAAATATTTAGATGTCAGGAACAGCTAGGCCAGATGTTCAGGCAGGCTGCCAAAGCATAGCAACGATACTCGTCGTATCGATCAGTTGACATCACGGGTTATCTTATGTTTTTAATAATCTCTTTATTTAACTAATGATATTGTGTTATTATTGCTTGTCTGATAGGATTATACTAATCGCCTTATTTTATTGCACATGTTACCGAATTTTACTTTGAGAAAGTGTATTTTTACTGCATAATTTCATTCCATAACTAATAGTAAGAAGCCTCTGTCTATAATCCATGAGTTTGGCATATATATGATTAAGCAAAGATAACAAATCAGTTGATGAATCTGTAAATTTTAATCGACTGAAGGGTTTTTTGACACTGATGTTGGTAAAAAAAAATAGATTTCTTGAGTGGGTGGTATTGGTTCTCGTGTGATTAAACCGTAACGACAGCAAAGAAGTTGTATTATATATCTGTCTTCAGTCCAATAATCAATTAATTCAACCATATTACCAGTAGGATCGGTAACCATCCAAATACCAACTGACATATTGACCAATCAATAATAACTAAGACCTAAATGCTTATCGGTCTTTGATTTCCTTCCAAAGCAAGTGCCCAATCAAATGATGAAGCTAAAAAGAGCAGATCAGTTTTCTGTTGTACTTAGTTCAGTCGTGATTCAAAACTTATACAATAATATATCTGAAATCCCTGACTACACAACGAGACCATTTTGGTGTTACAACGTGTTCACAACTCGATCATAAGTGATATAAAACCAGAGTTGTTGAGGAATAATTAAGGAATGATAAATCTCGAATAATAAGACTTGACAACGATTTATGGGTCAAACAAAAGCTTAAAAATTGCAGAATAAAAATATACAACATTGTAAGCATCTACGAACAATATAATAATATCTTAAATAATAATCCTTCGTATGATAGTTTCCAAAGTTGTCTCCACCTTATTCGTCCCACTACATCAGTTACATATTGACAGGACATGTTAACTAGCGTAGAAGTCAGTTGGTGGGGAGCTTGTTTGTGACCAAATTATGAAATCATTCACTGTTGGTCTGAACTTTTCTGATAGATGCAGACTACCTAGTTGAGGTCCACGCTATATAATCGGTCACAGTAGCACTGATGGTTTCATTTCTAATCTCAAACAAGATCCTGTGTTCGAGCATTCCTACATACATACACTTTCATTCTGTTTTTTCTTTAGCTATCTTCTCAATGTTTAGTCTTTCCTATCGTAGTTCCTACTACATTATTTAAACTCTTTTACTATACATCTTTTTTGATGGTATTTCGTCGTGCTAATACATACTCATACCAGGCTCTCCACTGATTGTGATAAACTAGTTCAAAGTGTTTCAAAGAAGTAATCGAGGTATAATATTATCGATATTAAGATTAGAAGTGTTTGTGAAAATTATTCATTCAAAACCCAATGAAGATGCATATAAATACTATTCGATCGTTTATTGTGTTGTAATTCACTAACATTTTAATACAATAGTTAACAAATACAAGTTCAGATCTATTATTTTAATCACATTGTTTATTTTCATTTATCTTGTCAGGTTGGTGATCGAAAATCATTGGACGATGCTACTTTTCCTATACATAGAAATAACAGTGATCCGAATCAATTTACTCAACCATTAACACTAGATAAATCAGAATCTAAAAATTTGATCCGTTCTGTTCCTGCTTCACCATTAATACCACCTCCATCACCTCCTCTTACTCCTCCTACATGTTCTTTACAAGTATTTAATAGAAATGATTTAATTAGACATTCATACCCGGTAAGAATTGATACTAAAGAAAAATTTGTTGCACCAGTTTTATTACATTTACAAAAAAGACATAGTGTAGCTAATTATATGAGTACACAATCTATGATTAGTTCACTATCAGGGAATAATTCTAATCATCCATCTCAATCAGAAGATCATAATAATTAAATGAAATACATTCAGTATTCTTTCTACTATTCCTTTTATAACAACGAGAATGATCCGAAAACAAATCTGTTTCACAATTATTACTAGAGGTATATATATATATATATATCTTTGTTTATTTAACAAACCAATTTGTCTTTGTATCACTTTCTTCAGTAATTATTGATCATTCATTTTTATGTTCATGAACATTATCACCATCATCATCATGATGATCATCGCCGTTTGCTCTTGGAGTTTAGATTTCTAGATTTTTCTATTTACTTTTTCATTTGTTATTATTTATGTAAATTTTTTTGTTTGTTTTTCTCGTAATTATAGTTTATTCATATGATTTTCTTTCATTTATGCTTATCTATAATTGAATAAAATGAATTATTTTATAATTGATTATAATATAACAGAAGAATGTTTCTTTCTTTGAGTTGAATACTTTTGGGTACTTACTTATTTTAAGCATATCTATGAACTCTCTTCTATGTCACCGTTGTATATAATATATATTGATTGTGATGACAATAATGATGACGATGATGGTTGGATGAATGTACTTATGATAATTAGGAGGAAAAAAAAGAACATTCTGAAATTATATCTGCATTTTGTTCTCTTTGCTTTTGTCTCACTTTTGGACTCTTTATTTGTTTATCTATTATCCTGTTCACAATTTGAATGTAACTTGCTTGTTGCTATTTTGTATATGTACGCGTGGTAATATCATTTATTGTTTATTTAAGGTTTAATTAGGATAATCATAATATTTCAAAGAAAAACTGATAATTTCATTTTGTTTTCTCAAAGTTGACATTGTTCGTTTTTTCTAAAAAAATAAAACATATGAAGAATAAGGTTGTTCATTTTGGTTTACTTCTTGTCGTTTTCAGTTGATTTTCTTGTTTTCTTTATATATATATGTTATGACTTTATGTCCGGCTTTTTATCACATGGTTTATCCACCAATCAAAATACGACTTATACAATCTTAGCACTGTGCCAAAACCAATGACGTTCGACCGGTATGAGCAGCCTAGTGTCCTTATTGGTCCTATTTCCGCCTAGCCCGTCCACTTGAGTCCAGAACGTCAATACTAACTTCCACTATGCGAATCGAATCGTTTATTTCAGACATACTGGGTTTATATATCAAACAAACAGACCGCAACGCACCATAAAATAGGAAATAACATTTGTACACAATAAAGCCAAAAAGTGACTGTGAACGTGGGAAGCAGTAGTCAATAAACTGAACATAGCTTAAAAACCGTAAATCGTAAAATAATAAATTATAGATCAAAATAAAGCTTATAATGAGAGGACTATAAATATACACAATCTAATCATTGAATAGTTATACCATAAGTATGTATAGATAATATTAGTCATTTAATATGTTTCAGAAGTTACTCGTGACTTAATCTTCGCTCGGATATAACAATATATATACCAACAAAATAGTAGGTGATATACAGTTCATATGGGGATGTCTTGTTCAGAATCGGGAAAACAATATTTAGGTTTTCTGTCCGAAATTCAATTATATATATATGTAAAATTAGCGGTAGAAATACTTTCATAGAGTAGTGGTCTGGACGTTTAAAATGATATTTAAATATTATTCCTTGACCGTCGTAGAGTGAAAATGGTGATGTTTAGAATAACAATTGATCAATTGTTTCTATATACACTGTATATGAAGGTTAAATCAACTGGAATCATAAGGTAAAGCTTGACTCAGTGACCAGTATATGATTGAACTAATCGGATTTAAGATAGCACCTTTTGAATTATTCATCCATATTGCCTACAGAATATTTTCGTAACATCACTAAAAATCTTTAGTGACAAATACTCTGATCAAAGATAATTTGGAGCTCTAAAAATCTATTTCGGTCTTTATAATGATTAAAGAAGGTGGATTATCTAAGTCCATAAGGTCGTATTTACGTGTTGTTCCGAAATACAGATAGAGTAACCTATAAATGGTCTAAATAAATTCGACAATTTTATAGAAAGTATTTACACATTTTAGTAATACTGTCTTCTGATCGACTAAGAACTGGCTGAAAATTCGTCGCAGTTTACTTTTAAGTCGTCCATTTACTATACTTTTACTATATAACTTATAAGTAGTAAGAATGTTTAGTTCCAAATAGGATACTATTTTGTTTTTCCCCTTTCCCGACTTAGATGCAAACGTTAATAGGAAAATTTATTAGCAAAGAATAATAAGTATTGTTTTAAACAAACAAGAATTATGTATGAATATATTTTTTTGAATCTAAAAAGGTGTTACATATTGACATATTAAAAAAGCTATGGATTCATAAGAAATGTGAGTCTTTGGACATGGGTAGATATGTAGGATGACATTAAAAAAGAAACGAGTTTACCTAAAGGAAACGATGAATAAATGGTCAGTAAGCGTATTCTGTCCATTTAACCAAACAGGAGAGTACACATCAGCGTTGCTTTTGCTCATTATTTAAAAGTGATTGAATGTTCTTTTTTGGATATATGCTGGTTATAAAATGAATCCATGTGTTTATAACTATAAACTGGAATTCAGTACTTAAACATCTTATTGTAGAACAGTGACTTAGAGGTTAAAAAGTTTGAGTTTCAACTAATAAATTGCAAGCTTGATCCCAACTTCATGTATTTTGGTTTGGGCGACTGGATGGTAGCACTCTTTTAACTTCGTAATGACAATTTATAAAAGTTAGCATTTTGTACATTATGCATAAATATCTATATGAGTATAGTAAACACTAGTCAGAATTCAACAGAAGTTTTTAATCATTATTTATTTTAGTAAGTTTCACAATCTTACTCCTGTTACCCCTCGTGGAGGAGCATAGACCACCCACCAGTATTCTCCGCCTGTGACTCTTCTAGGTTTAGTGCCAGGCCCGGAGAAAGGAGGAGGGTCGGGGATGGAGTCAGCAACCCTATCCTGTTCTCTAATTTTTTGATGAGATGAATTTCTAAAATGATAAAATGTTTTCAATAGGGAATGAAATCAGATAATCTTTCTCTAATGAGGTCTTAATTTTGACATTTAAATAAATAAGTCAACATATATTGCTCTAAAATTTGGAAAACATCAGTAGTTTTGAAAATAACACGAAATTCGTCGGTTTGATGGGTTTTTGTTATGTCTGTAGATACATGTAATGTTTGTTATGTGACGGATACAAAATAATATACACACTTGAACTTCGACAATAATCACATGCATTTAAAATCAATGAAAAACCAGAGTAAATATAGTAATGGGTTCGTTTTAAGACAACATGTAATTCACATAGACAGAGAGTATTTTAAGTTGGGTTTTTTTATAATTTTTAAATAAATAGAACTTTAAGGATGATTAAGTTAATTAACAGAATGATCTGTAGACGTAAGCCTTCATTTGAATTGACAAGAATGCTGTTCAGCAGAATTAGTGTTTTTTGATGAGACTATAATGTTTGGATGACCTTTAAGCAATGCTGAACTAACGTTTGGGATATCCAACTACCTAATAGGGTTAAGTAAGGGTTATAAACAAGTGTGAGGAATTAGGATTAGAATTTACAGTTGATGGTTAGGGTTTGGAATTAGATTTAATGTTTTCATTATGAACTGACATTAGCTCTAATGCCAAAATGGTATTTAACCGAATGAGTGAATGAATTCCGCTCCAAAATCCGAAACTTGTTATCCTAAATCTGATTGGTTCATCCGTAAATTATGGTCCCATCGTTTTTTTTTTGTTATAAAATAAGCATATATAAATTATTAACAAATGTACGAGTTAAGAGTTTGTCATTCTCCGAAGTAGAAAGATAATCACTAAGGGTTAAAGTAATCTGTTTCATTTTCACTCAATTTATTTCATCTGAAATACAAAACATTTGTCCATTTTATTACAGTTAGTTGATCTAGTCAAATCTTGACAACATTTGTACTTCAGCTGAATAACTGATGTAATACAATCTTAATAGTTTCACTTTCTTAAAATAGATTCTTTCGATATAACATATATTGTATCTTCTTCTTGTTATTATTATTATTATTATTATTATTATTATTATTATTATTATTATTATTATTATTATTATTATTATTATTATTATTACTATTTACTGACTCTATTCTTGTTTGGCGAGAAATTCGAGTCTACTCCTATTTTCTAACTGATGGCATATAGTTCAACAATAGAATTGTGTTTTTGATGGAGTTTTGTTCTGTGAGCTGGATGGTTTGGTCGTGGAGTGCTGATGATGTTGTTCAGAAAAACGATGAAAGCTCCACGACCAAACCATCCAGCTCACAGAACAAAACTCCATCAAAATTATCCACCTGAGCTACAAATCCCCACCATCTTAGAATTGTGTTTCTATTATTACAGACTGAATTCAGTATTTACTCTATAATACAGAAGTTTTGCTTCTCAATAAATTGTCTCTCATATAATTTTATGTTCTTTTAATGAGGAGAGTGAATAATGATGAAGTTAATGAGTAGTTACTTAGCTCTTTTAGTAATTTATAGAGTTTCGATAATCATTATCGTACTGTTGAACGTCTCAAAATATTTCATTTATTTTAAGAGTTTACAGCATAAGATATCCTTGATTTGAAATGACCATTTTTTGTGAGATCATTCAACTCCCTCTTATATATCATCGATTTCTTGTTGATCGACTGGACAAATTCTAACCAGGATTCTTTGGGAATTTTCAAAGAATGGTTGGATGATGTAATAACAGCTATTTCTGTTATTAATGATAAATAGATACAGTTTGTGTGTGTGAAACTTTCACTTGCAGTGAATAAGCTACTTATGCCTGTTACTCTTCATGGAGGAGTATGGAAATACCTTTTTTTTAAAAAAATTATTATTTCGTGTTATCTAGCAAAAAAAATGAAAACTAGGTAAATACAAGGCAGATTAATAAAATCAGAAGGGGTTTTGTGGAAATTGTAGTAATTTCAATGGTTGAGATCATGAGTCAATTGAAACTAGACCACCATGGAAAACTCCGAAGTGCTGGACGGCCGTTTCGTTCAATTGTGGAACTCCTCAGCAGTGCGCATCCACGACCCCGCTTCTCGGGATTGTATAGATCCAATGTTTGTGATCATTGTCACTGAAGAGGATTTATCACAAACTAAGTCAGTGTACTATAACGGTGATGAATCACACAGATAACTTGGTATTTTTTAAAATTTAGAGGGCGGATCAATGAATATGTTCTTCCAATGTATGATTATTTAAGTATGGAGTCTTTCGTTCGACGAACACTCATACATACTTAGTGTATTTGTTTAAAATATTTCATAGTCAACATTAAACCTGATAGAAATATTCATTAGCCTAAGTTATCATACTGAAACATCATAATGAGATCAAATTAATAAAGTAAGTAGAAAAAGAATCGAAATAAGTGTTTCAAATGGTTAGTTATAAAATCTAAGTAGTAAACGTTTCAATTATCCCACTTCCGATATTAACACTAGGACCCACGTATATCCAACTATTGAGTCTCGAATAGTACTAAATGCTCGTTCCCGATACTTCTACTAATCAAACATCATTTCATCAGTTAAACATTATGTCAAAATAGCGTAAACATTTATTTAAACCTGTCACTCCTCGTCGAAGAGCATAGGCCGCCCATCAGCACTCGCCATCCAACACTGTCCTGGGCAATTCTTTCCAGCTCCTTTCAGTTGTTATTCATCCTTTTCATATCTGCTTCTATTTCCCGACGTAATGTGTTCTTTGGCCTTCCACTTTTCCGTTTCCTTTCAGGATTCCAAGTTAGGGCTTACCTCGCGATACAGTTTGATGATTTCCGTAATGCATGTCCTATTCACTTACAACACCTTTTCCTAGTTTTTTCTTCATCTGGAAGCTGGTTTATTCTTTCCCATTGTAG